CAGGCGCAGAAGTATCCTCCACGCATGGTGGCAGCGATCCTGCGCGCGATCAGACAGGAACTTCATTGGCGTGGAGAGCTCAATGAACTATCAGTCGAAGGGTCTGGACCTAGTCCAGATGGAGAAACGAACGAACCCAACAACAAGTTCGATGCTCCAGTAGAAGATCATGAACAAGCCGAATACTTTGACACAGTCACTGGAGCTCCATTGCGCAAAGAAGCAGTTCTTGCCGCCAGGCAAGAAGAGCTGAGATGGGTTCACAAACAGCAGATCTACGTCAAGGTTCCGATTGAAGAATGTCATCAGGCCACTGGCAAGCCACCCATCACCTTGAAGTGGGTGGATAAGAACAAAGGAGACAATGAGAAAGAAAACTACAGAAGTCGCTTGGTGGTCAGAGAAGTCAAGAAGCCAGGTCAGACTGTTCCAGAATGCGAGAGCTTTTCAGCGATGCCTCCACTCGAGGCACTCAAGGCACTTTGTTCACTCATGACTTCGATGAAGGTCAGCCGACGTGGAAAAGTGCTCAAGCTCAAGTTGCTGGACATAAGCCGTGCTCATTTTTACAGCGATTCTCAACGAGCTGTATATTGCACACTGCCTGAAGGAGATGAGACCCCAGGTCATTGCGCCCGTCTTGTCAAGACGATGTACGGGACGCAAGACGCAGCATCAATTTGGCAAGCGACCTACAGCGAATCACTTCAAGAACACGGCATTCAAGCTGGAACGGCATGGCCATCGATATTCTATGACACGCAATCAGACGCGAGATTTCTTGTGCATGGAGACGATTTCCTGTTTTTAGGAGATGAGGATGCACAAAAGCGGATTGCCACCATTTTGGCAAAGAAGTTTGAATTTCGTGTCGACGGATGCGTCGGACCTGAAGAGTCAGATGGCACGGTGATGAGCGTGCTCAATAGGATTTTGGAATACAACAAGTCCACAGGGACGTTGACATACGAAGCTGATCCTAGACACGCAGAGATCATTGTGAAACAATTGCAGCTAGAAGGCGCTCGAGAAGTGAGCACACCATCGACAAAGCAAACAGGGGAAGAGGCGTTCATTGAAACGCCGCCTTTAAATCATGAACAAGCAAAGATTTACAGATCATTGGTGATGAGAGCAGCGTACTTGAGTTTAGATAGAGGAGATCTATGTGAAGCTGTGAAAACATTGGCAAGGTCTATGTCCGTTCCCGACGAAGATTCTTGGGCAAGATTGAAACGGCTGGGCAGATACCTGCTAGGCAAACCTAGAGTTGTGCAAGAGTTCAAACCGCAACGGATGTACACCAAGATCCGAGCTTTCACAGACAGTGACCATGCTGGATGCGTTCGCGCAAGAAAGTCCACCACCGGACTGGTCCTGATGTGTGGACAGCGTACCTTGAAGTCTTCATCAACTCTGCAAACGACGATATCGTTGTCTTCGGGCGAATCGGAGTATTACGCCATCGTTAAAGCAACGGCATCAGTGCTCGGGATACGAGAATTGTTCCGAGAATGGGGAGTTGAGTTGGACTGCATGGTTCTTTCAGACTCCAGCGCAGCCAGAGGAATGTGCAGTCGACGCGGGCTAGGCAAAACAAGGCATGTACAGACCCGCTACTTGTGGGTTCAGCAAAAGCTCAAAGAGAAAGAGTTCGAGTTGGTCGCAGTGGGCACCGACAAGAACGTTGCCGACTTGTGCACCAAGCCTTTGAGCACGGAGACCTGTTGGAAGCACATGCATGCCTTAGGCCAGTACGCAAAGACCGGCAAGAGCTCGGCTGCAAAAGCCGTGGAGTGAAGATTCATCTGCAAAGCAGAAGAATCTTAGGAGGGGTGTTTGGATGTAGGGTATGTACATACTATACACGTACCCCGACTTTTGGCTCAAGGGAAATAAGCGCGAGCGGCCGAGCTTTGAGCGTCCATATACATTTTCATTTCCCTTTGCCATTCGTGAAGACAGACACTCCTGTAGCAAATCCAAAGTGTGTTTGGTGAGGAATAAAGCCCAATCCAATCCTACGCTACTAGGGGCTCCTGGCATCGCTACTGGGAGCAAGAAGCTACTAGTAACAAGGGCATCGCTACTAGGAGCAAGGACGCTACTAGGGGCTCCAATCCTTTGCCTCTTTCGCTCTCCCTATCGATCGATCGCACTTTTGGGCTGAGGTTCATGGTGGTGTACACAGAGTCAGAGCTCATAGAACAGAGCCATGGCGGTCTGTGTGGAGTAATGTGGGTTTAGACCCACAAACAATGCGCATCAACGTGCTGTTAGTGTGGGGTGCATAGTTATGGCAAGGCCCTCTTCCATTGTCCCTTGAAGGTTGCCTTGTACAGTAGTCCGCGCAGGAATCATTCAAAGAGTTCGATGGAGAGAGAGAGAGAGAGAGCTGCCTGATGGAGAACTTGCACTCACTTCGGTCTTTTCAATCGTCGTTGTGGTGGTTTTGCCAAGGACCACGCCAGTATCCCTTACAATTGTAGCCTCTCGGCAGCTTTCTCTCAGACTCGAACACGTGCACCGGTAGCAGTAGTAGGTAGTAGCACTAGCAAGTATAGTATTATGCATTACGTACATATGTAATCCATTGTATATAATTCTACATATAGCATTATATAGCTCATTCAATGACCATCAAGGTTAGGACATTGCCTGTATAGAAACGTGTTTCGTGTGAGATTAGTTGACAAAACATTTGACGAATAAGTGCTCGCCAGGTGTTAGGTCGGTAGACTCAATAACATCTCTCAAGACTAATGTTTGGTGGTTTGTAGTAACAGTAGTCCCGAAGCAGCCTGTGTCTGTGTGTTGCAAATCCGAGTTTCTTGCGTCCTGCTTTCCTGAACCTTCCTTACCTAGGACCACATCGCATCTGTAGAGAATATCACTTTCCCAGACTTCGACTTAGATCAAGGCAGGCCTTCCACTTTGCCTGTGATGTGTTCAGTTTGTGCCAAGTGGAGCTGACAAATTTGCAATCATCTCTTGGAAAGTGTGAGGGTTAAGGTTCGCTGAGAAGGACTGCACGCCAAATCTACAACTGTCTTTGATCCATGTGAATGGTTCCGGATGATCGATTAGATCAGTGGCCCACCCACATCTGTGTAGGTGACCTTGGTGGCGAAGTTTCTTGGGATGCTCCAAAGGAGACCGTAGTTGAGAGCATGTGGCATGTAAGATGCAGTGCACAGGTGAGCCACATGGCTGGAAAATAGAATTACGCGATAGGTTGGTTGAGAGTAGTGCACACCCACAATCTCACGCAACACGGTCACTCACAGTCAAAATATGTCTAAAGAGTACAGCCGGCCTCTTTATTGGATGATATTGCATGTTTGTGTGACATTGTCTAGTTGGACACTTGTAGATCTCAACCTATCTCACCAGGACGACCGTTTCGTGGTGTCCTACCACATCTATTTCGCGAAGGTGATCCCCATCGACCAGAATGGAGAGTGCAACTACGAGGTGCGATGTTAAGCAAAACGTGTGGCCCACCTGGTTGGTGTTTTCTTACCAAGAAGACACGTCCAGGATTTGACAGGTGATTGTTGCTTCATTTACAAGATGCACCTGGAGATTGCCAAGACTTAGGATTGTTGTTGAGAATTCCTTTAGGCTAGATGTGTGAGCCCAGAGATGCCTGACACTTTGGCATTTGGATTGTTGAGAATCAGGTCTTTGCACCCTATGCCGAAGCGCTGTCTCAGTTGATGCTTGGCCGCTTTTAAGTCCTGTGGGTGGACCAACCATGAAAAGTGTCCTTGCTTGTGTTGTTTTCGACCTTGTTGGGCAGCACAACGGCGCATTCTGCGCGGCCAATAGGCTATGTCAATGCCAATGAATCACCAGACTCTGCCAAGTTGAATCAGGTTTGACTGCGCCTCTAAGGAGGGGAGATGTTCCTAATAGCTTCTTGCTCCTAGTAGCGATGCCAGGAGCCCCTAGTAGCTTCTTGTTCCTAGTAGCAAGGCCAGGAGCCCCTAGTAGCGTCCTTGTTGTTTGACTGCGCCTCTAAGGAGGGGAGATGACTCAGATAATTCCGGACAGGACTTTGAAGACACGTCTCCCGCCACCAATGGCAGCCTGGCATGGTGCAGGCGCGGGAGCAAGGCTGCATGTGGTCACATGATCCGTGGCATAGATAGTCTAGACCAAAGGGGAACAACTGAAGTAGACTTGCAAGTACTTTGTGCTTATTTCACTGGCTGTGGCAAGGTTCAGCTATCGCTTGGTGGATGATTTGAACATCACTGTGCCTGTTGAAACGAAGTTGCAGGACTTCACTCATTTCGTGACCTGGATAGGACTTGTCCAGAAAAGGCACAACACGTGTTATACAGTACCTTTCCGAGTTTGGGATTTTTTGACATATGGGCCATATGGTCATATGGGATAAAACAGGACTGCTTCAGTCCAGTGAGGGTTAAGAACGCTTTCCAGTGTGGAGCTTCTTTGAATGACTTGATGTTTATACCATGCCGGGTCGGTTTGGGTCCGTTGAGGGCGGACATGTTGCTGTTTGAGGTGATCTCTACCGTTTCGTTGCTGGTGGAGCAGTCAACTCCTGCAGAGCACTTGATTTTCGACGCCACTGCAACGGTTGGCGGACGCTTGGCAATCACGTTCTGAACATGTTGTGTAATTTTGATGCCCCAGGACCAACAAACAAAAGCTGTGACGCACATTCAGGGCTGTGTTTGAGTTATATTATATATATATAATATACTCAGGAATTGGCTTCATCGATGACGAACCTTGGCTCTTTGAGATTCCAGATCCTCTAGCTTGGCGTTTTCATTGTTTCGATCTTGCTGGAGGGATTGGCCACATTCAGATGCCACGTAACTTCCTGCAGTACCACGCACGACCACATGGTGCATCAATATGATGCTTGCGTAGAGCCGCTTCTGGTATTTTCTTGTGGTATTCACATTAGCCATCAAGAGCCCAAAGAGTGACATCCCGAGCAATCTCCGCCACCAGGACCTGGATCCCTTCGAGTTCGGCGGAAACGTCACCTGGTTGGAGCCACCGGATGCCAGCCGAGTACAGGAGCGGTTCAGTTCAGCCAGCCAAGTCTCTTTCTGTGCAGTACTGCCCGTAGTTGCGGCATCGTCGCACCCCACTGTGGCTGGGCTTTCTGTGTGCTTCAAAGGGCTTGGTTTCACCAAAAAGGCGCTTGAAAGATAGCTGTGTCTTGCCGTGCTTGCTGTGTCGTTTAAGGGCTTGGTTTGCTCAGTTGTGCTAGGACTACCTGCTGTACTTTTCATGGGATCCCCTCGGCAACAATCGCAGCAGGGTCGGTGACATCGTGCCAGTAGGCAGGGCAACTAGAGTTTGCCTTGGTTTTTTATTTTGCATCAATGGCTCATGTGTTTGAATCCTGAAGAGCCATGACACGGTGAAGCATGAACCATATACTGTATATTGATATGGAATATGAAATAATATGAATATTGACTTTACCAGTTGGATGCTATGCTTCTTGGCGGATTCTGACATTGCATTGACTTAGCAGACTCAGGAAGTCACTTTCAGCCCTGTCAATGACGTTGCCGCATTGTCGGGTTGCCGGTAGATTGGGCGTTTTGCGGCATTTGCCAGGTACGGATCGGATTCTGTTGCCTGCAGAGATCGCTCAGGGGCCACATGAGTACTTGGTGTGACTTGGCATCGCTCGAAGTCCTGTCGTCGATGAATCACTTAGCAATCTTACTCCCTACAATCGCTACCTTCATTTTCTTTGACTGGGGCAAAGCGGCCAACAGGGGTTGTCCTAGCGAAGTCATTTTTGCCAAAGCTTGCCAGTCTCCGGAAACCATTAAGATGTTTGTCTTCCTCTCTCTTCCTCACCAAAAGAGCTTGATGTGAATCAGGAAGCCACATCATTTGGGACTGTCTCAGCATGGAGACTTGTTCTATCAATGTGAGGCAAAGGCGTTTGGCCGCGATTCACATCTGAGGATCTACACTCGATCTTTCCTCGTGGAACAGACCACTCCCGCCTACTTTGCCCTCTCAGATACACGATCCATCCCTTCGGACATTGCCGGGGTCTCAGATAGGTACAGATTTACAGGAATCGCTTTGATCGTGTTGGCGTTTGCAGGAAGCCTGACTTGGGTCGAATGTCCATCAGTGACATTGTGAGTCAGACAGGTGTTGATGGATTTGGATTTGGACTACTCTGAGTTGGGCGGAAATATCTCCTGGGTCTCACCTTTGGAGTCGGCGCAGGCGCGGGAAACGAGTTTCGTCGGTGTCCACAGATCTTTAGAACCCATGCTCAGCAGCCGCGGTCTTGGCCAAGGTGATGTCTTCCACTAAGGAAGCAACATCAAAAACATTGTAAAACTGTTTCTTGCGTGGGGGATTTGCGCGGGGGATTGCAGGGCTTAGTTCAGCTTTACCCAAACAGGGACCCTGCCCATGGAAGTCTTGAAGCCTGCAACACTTCGACATCCTTTGAATCACGTCCTGTGTCGCTTGAAAGTCAGCTTGAAAGTCATGGTTGCCTGGCTATGCAAGCTTAAATGGTCGTAGCAAGTGTTTGAGGTCACTGAGTATTACATCTACTTGGGCGACAGTCCGGAGCCTGCCAAGATGCTGGGAGAAAATGGTAGCTTCCCATGGTCAGGAGCCGCTCTGAAATTCATGAGCCACCGTGCTTGTTGGAAGTCTTTGTCGAAAAATCTGCTTGAACACATCATTGCTTCTCCATAACTGGTTCCGGAAGATTTGGCAGGAAGCTGTCTTGGACCCGTATGGACATGTGGTTTCAACAAATTGGGGACATTCTTGTGCTACTTGCAACTAGTAGTAATGGCCTCCAACCTAATAGCGATGGCCTCCACCCTAGTAGCTTTGGGCTTTTGTGTCAGCTTTGTTCAGGACGTTCTCAACTGGGTGTTGTGCCATTCTTCGATACTGAGCTCTTTGTGCCGCCAGAGACGCTTCGGCGAGGCTACGGCTATGTGTCAAGTCTGCAGTATTCACATAGGTTTGGAAGGAGGAGCGTGCAGCTGAAGGGTATGTCGGGTAATTGGATAAGGGGCCACGGGGAATTTCGAATGGATTATATGTTTTGTTTGCCAGATTAAACATCAGCGCCTCACTGAAGGTTCTGGTGTATGCCTCTTCAAGCTTGGCAGAGCCCCGCGGACTCAGTGAGTTGCTGTAGTCTAGGTAAGCAAGTGTTCCTGCTTAACCTGGTCAAGCCAAGTTTTTCTTGGTTACTAGATCATACATATTCATACTATGTTTCAATATTGTGTGTGTTTTCCTTGGCTTGTCGCTCTTAGTTCATTCAAGACCTTTAGCCAATGACATGATAGAATATGGTAGAATAAGCTTTGCTGCCTAGCATGATTTGTTGGCTGCTTGTTTCAGGCAGACCACCCCAGCCGCCCACATCATTTACGATGCAAATGCCAGCGTGTCAAATGTGAACTTCGTTGGGAAAGATCTGGATTTGGAGGAGCCAACAGTTTCACTATTGAAAATATATTGTAGCGTCCTTGTTCCTAGTAGCTACTTGCTCCTAGTAGTACGGCCAGGAGCCCCTAGTAGCGTCCTTGCTCCTAGTAGCGATGCCAGGAGCCCCTAGTGGCGTTCTTGTTCCTAGTCACGATAAATTAGGTGTAGGAAAAGCATAGGACGAAAATATATTGGATTTAACATGGAAAGAAATTGTACATCTATTTTCGTTTGGTGTGTTTTATATGTTCAATACAATATAATTACATAGACATGTGTAAATTCCAAAAATGTAAAAAGCAGGAACACACAGGGGAAACATAGAAACACAATTGTGGATTCCTTTCTCTATGTTGGACTCTATTATATTACATTGTGATGTCATGTCCGATTTTCTTTGTTGCTTTCCCAATTTGTTGCAGTTATTGCATTTTGCCAGTCCTATGTTCCAGGAAATTTAATTGGTTACATAACTCTAACCCTCAGTCAAATACTTTGTAGGTGAGGGTACAGCGGCACCCTCAGTGGCCACATGTTCTGCGAAGTGTTTGTTGGGCAGAGGAAGAAACTCACGCGATTCACATCCAAAGATGTCCAGGACCTGGGTGGTTATGTCTCTTGGGTTGAGCCTGCCAGCGATTTGGATCGCGCCTCTCGGCATGCTCCAGAAAATTGCCGCGACTAACTATGGTCATGCGATCTCGTTGGAAATAACTACAAGTGCAGCCTATCCATTTTGTCGTGATTCGGCAGTTACTAGGACACTACTGTAGCATGACAACCCCCCAGAGATGTCTCTCAGTGACCTCCATGGCGTCAAGTCGTTCTGAGGTCATGGCCTACTCAGTCTACCTTTCGCTGGATGATATTGGCACCGGCCGCTCCAAAGTCGAGCAGGTGTGGCCCGTGGGGCCAGGGCAAGTTGGCACTGTAAAACATATTAAAAAATGTAAAACACGGTAAAGCTACGAATACATAGGAGCAAGAACGCTACTAGTTACTAGGGGCTCATGGCCTTACTACTAGGAACAAGAAGCTACTAGTTACTAGAGGCTCCTGGCCGTACTACTAGGAGCAGGGACGCATAGGAACTGATGCTCAAAAAAGCTCAAAAACTCGTTGTTTCACAACTGCCAGCAACACAACAACAGCTGGTTGAAAGATGCAACACTAGGTCTCACGGAGAGGATGTGGTGAAAATTCGATGTGTCACATCCCTTGTTACTAGCAGCTTCTAGCTACTAGTAGTAATGCCTTTGTTACTAGCAGCCATGCCAGGAGCTACTAGTAGCTTCTTGCTACGTTCGTAGCGATGCACCTGTTATTCATTAGATGTGTGCCAGGATGTCCTCGTGGGCTCCAATGAACTTCTCGTGCCACCGGAGACGCCACGGCAGAGCTTCACCCGCTTCGTGGTCTACACCAGGCGACAAGCATTGGGCGACAAGCACCGGCAGCACCTGCGGGTTCTTTGTTCTGTTTGTTTCAGTTGAGGAGCTTCTTAAGGACATCCAAAGACCATCGAAGGCTTGATGGCTTCTTAAGATGTTCCATTTTAGTTCCATTGAACGTGTTTTTTTGCTGCTGGACTTGGAAGGTCCACCCTTGTGGAGCAGAGCACTCCAACAGCTCATCTCTTATTTGACACCACAGCCATGCCACAAAACCTGGACTTCCTGGACATCGATGTGGACCGCGGAGAGATGGGCGGAAACCTCACATGGATGGCACCTACAGACCCCACTCATGTGACTTGGAATGCTTTTGGTGCTGGCTACGCCGCTACGCCCATGCTAAGCCTACAGTGTGCCTGCAGTGTGCCTGCAGTGTGCATCAGCTCATTAACCAAACGTTAGAAGATATGGCATGTGTGAATCCATATCCTGACCTTACCCTTGCACTTAGGTGACAGAGTATGTCCTCTATTTGGGAGAGAACGCCCATGGCTCCTTTTCGTAAATCATGATCTCAAACCTTTACAGGGTTTGGGCAGGTCATTCTCGGCGAGATTGGCTTCATGGCGGGGCTGATGCCACTGTTTCAAAAAGCTTCCAGTTCAAAGTCCACAAACGCTGCTTTCAAGTGAATGGAGCGTAAAGTTGAATTGAACCACCCGTTTTGCGACGAACAGTTAGTTCCGCCAATTGGTGCCCGAGGCGGTGCCTCATCTTGTTGAGTACTTGTTGAGTACTACGTACTACTAGCGATCCTCCAACCTAAGACTTGAGCCATGGCCTCCAACCTACTAGCGAAGGCCTCCAACCTAATGTGCAGCAGCTACTGTACAGTTACATGTGTCACTGCATGTTAGGTTTGGACCGTTCAATCTTGGGCAATGTCTCGTGGGATACCTTTGAGTTTCTTGGCAAAAAAGATGTGCTCGGCCAGTGCTGGGTCATTTGGGGCTTTCGGAGTGGAAGCGTTCGCCATCAATGACTCAAATCTTAGTGGTACTGGTAGATGTCATAGTGGATTTCCGATCTCCATGCAGATAACCACACTCTTCAAGGAAGGATGACCACAACAGAAGGCACATCACCAGCTCTTGGACAACTTCCAAGTGTCGCTGACGGTCGCATAGCGTCGACGTCTCAAAGGTGAACATCAACAGCGCTCACGAAGCGCTAAGGACACAGACATGCTCACGGGAGCCAAGGTTCTTCGTTCCGCTCAACACCTTGATTCTGAACTTTACTCACTTGTTGGTGCAACTTGACTTCAAATCTAAATATTTGAGGGGATTTTAAAGGTATCCGGTATTGGAATGCAACATACCATAGAATGAACATGTGAAACTTCCTCCTGATTGGCTTCAGGTATTCCAAGTCAGATTTGGCTGAAATGACCACACCTGCAGCTTTGCTGATTCGAGATTCCATTGCGGAAGTGGACAACATCACTCTCTTCGATAGGGAGCGGTGACCTTGGGAAAGGGGTTAAGGCTTGTGTTATGTAAGGGCTGGAAGAGTAGGCTCCCCCTGAATCATGTTAATTGTTGCGTAGGTTATTGTGAACATGTTCACACTTGGACGCTGAAGGAGAACATGCAATGACCACGAAATGGCTTCAATGCCCCCATATAGCTAGGGTGGCTAGCTGCTCACAGTTGTCATGTGTATAGCTGGGACATTCGCAAGAATGAGGAAGACAACCAACATAAGATTCTCTTTGCAGCTTTCCAACCTCTGGGGAAGACAAGTGCGAGTTTCCACAGGACTTGGACGAGAATGAAGTTGGAGGTGAAATCACCTGGGACCCTCCAACGGAAGAGCGCATCGTTGACAAGTGCCCCATGGCCGGTAGCTGGTAGCCACTAGCTCAGACAGGCTTAGCTTGGGGGAGATCCATGGCCACTGGTGAAGAATCTCCCTTGCTTGCTGATATTTTTTGACAGGTACCGGGTGTTCTTCCAGATTGACGCAGCAGGAACTGTTAAGAGCCAGGTGGATACCGACAAGCCGCGAGGACACCGTACCAAAAACACCAAAGCCCCAAAGCACACAACAATGATTGAAACTTGCACTAACGGATCACCTTGTCCTGAGTTTGGCAGTGACGTGTCGTGTGTGTGTGTGTGCCCCTTGTAGTCACAGGGATCCTTTCGGATTGTGTTTTTCTTTTTTTCAGCAGGGGGCCAGGACTCCCTGGCGCGCGTCCTGGCCAACGAAGACCGCGCGCCAGGGAGGTGAAAACGTACCTGCTATTGTTAAACTGTTGATTGGTTGCTGTGGTCCCTTGGTTTGTTTCATGGTGGTTCATGTACCTGATGTTGTTCCAGGAGGTGTTTAGGTTTTCAGGTACTTCATAAAGGGCTAATGCACGCTTCGCCGTCATCCTGTCGCTGGTTCGTTTTCGTTCTGAGCTTTTGGAGATCTTTAACTTACCTGTAAAGGGCTAATGCACGTCTCGCCGTCATCCTGTCGCTCGTCCGTTTTTCGTTTTGAGCTCTGGAGATCTTTAACTTACCTGAACATGGAGATGAGTCACAGTCCTGCACGCACGTCGTCAACCTGTCGCGTGATTGTCAATGCTATTGGTTTGGTCTACCTGTACCCTTAGGAAATGGTAACCTAGGCCGGCGTGTGGCACCGCTGTCAAGTCAGTACGCATTTCCATAAGTGTGTTTGGCCTCGTGCCAACCCGGGATGAGCCCGTAGAGTGCCTCCCGTGGACCCGTCGAACGGGGGTTTGTCGTTATCTCCCCTGCCCGGAGATGTAAGTGTCCGTAGCGGACAGCAGATGGCTTATGCCACAAGAAGTGGGATGTTTGTCTCATCTTTGGAATTCCAAGCTGGCTTATGCCTTTACGTGACCGCAGCGGTCAAAGGTGGCAGCCTTCGGGCAAGCCGTACGTGGTCACAGCGACCGAAGTTTGTTCAAGGTTCATTGGAACCTGTCGCGAGCTTAGTCCCCCGTCCTTCCCCTTCCCTCCCCTTTCTTTCCTTGCTTTTTGGGGTTTTCCTGAATGGAAGACTCAGGATCATCCCTTTCTTTCTTTGGTGTGTCCCTGGACGATTTTTCGTAGCTGGGAACACCTGCCTTTTACTTTTCTCTCCTCTCCCTTTCTCTCCCTTTCTCTCCCTCTCTCTTTCTTTCTTTCTCTCTTTCCTCTCCACCTTCCTTCCTCCTTGGGTGTCCCTGGATGCTTTTGTCATAGCTGGGAAACCATCTCCGCTCTTCCTTTGGTGTGTCCTTGGACGCTTGCGTCGTAGCTGGGAACACCTTCCTTCCTTCTCTTTCCTTTTTCTCGTCTCTCCCTACCCCTCCCTCCTGTCGGGACCTTAGCTTGGGTTGCTACTAGGGGCTCCTGGCCTTCCTACTAGGTGCTAGGACGCTACTTTGACGCTACTAGAGGTTCCCGGCCTTGCTACTATTTTGTCCGCACTTGCGATACGCCTCCCCTCGGGGAGGCGTGTGTGTGTGCCCCTTGTAGTCATTTTTTCAGCAGGGGGCCAGGACTCCCTGGCGCGCGTCCTGGCCAACGAAGGCCGCGCGCCAGGGAGGTGAAAACGTACCTGCTATTGTTAAACTGTTGATTGGTTGCTGTGGTCCCTTGGTTTGTTTCATGGTGGTTCATGTACCTGATGTTGTTCCAGGAGGTGTTTAGGTTTTCAGGTACTTCATAAAGGGCTAATGCACGTTTCGCCGTCATCCTGTCGCTGGTTCGTTTTCGTTCTGAGCTTTTGGAGATCTTTAACTTACCTGTAAAGGGCTAATGCACGTCTCGCCGTCATCCTGTCGCTCGTCTGTTTTTCGTTTTGAGCTCTGGAGATCTTTAACTTACCTGAACCTGGAGATGAGTCACAGTCCTGCACGCACGTCGTCAACCTGTCGCGTGATTGTCAATGCTATTGGTTTGGTCTACCTGTACCCTTAGGAAATGGTAACCTAGGCCGGCGTGTGGCACCGCTGTCAAGTCAGTACGCATTTCCATAAGTGTGTCTTTTTTGGAAAGCAAGAACGCTGCTATGTTCATCTGAGATCTTAAACTGATGGACTTCTCACTACTTCTCTCAATGAGGCTAGTATGATTTGAAAAAGATGAAACAAGTCAAGAAGATCCTTCTTGTGTTTTTTTATTTAAATTCACGCAGTGGTGGCAGTGGCCTCCAGGAGACCTGGCAGTAGCATTCCCCGGCGACACGGATGCGTGGAGCTCAACCGGACGACTCGATCCAAGTGCATCGAAAGCCAATCCTTCAGACTCCAGACGATCCATGGGAATCCGAATGAACGAAGCATGGACAAACTTGTGACAACTTGTCCTACTAGGAACAATGTTCGCTACTAGGCGCTCCTGGCATCGCTACTAGGAGCAAGGACGCTACTAGAAGCTGGAGCAATGGACGCTACTAGGGGCTCTGACACAACTTCGTTTTGCTCAGATGTTGTGACGAGTCGGAACGGCGGACGATTTCAAGGATTGAAACTACTGTCACTGTCACTTTCAGACATGAAGATACATGAAGTTCATACATTTTATCGTTGATGCAAAACAAACTTCAAGACCTTCGGCTTTGCTGAGATCACTGGGATGACTTGGATTGGCGTTTGGATCACTGCCTTCGGTGTGGAGCAGCAAACACCCTCGGTCACACAGGTCGTGGATACGCTACTTGGCATCGCTGACTTTGGTTGCTCAAACGGTGTAATTAATTACAAAACATTACAAAGTCAGAACAAACGAAGTGAAATGATCCAACTTCAAAGTTTGCTTTGTGAGGTAGGAAAGTTTGGCATGAAGTGTGTTGAAGGGAATTGTGGTGTACTGCCTTCCCAGTGGACCGATTCATAGCTCATGGGCGAGGGCCTCGAACCTGCTAGCCATGGCCTCCAACCTACTAGCGATGACCTCCAACCTACTACCAATTGCCTCCAATCTGCAGTTGTATAACTCGTTGCGAGGGACTCAAAATAGATTCCACCACACCGAGGCATCCCACATCCACAGTGAACGATCGCCTGTAACATTGTCCAATGGTACCAAGACGGCTGTAAGGTCGCAAAATATGTCTCAAAAAGTGCAGAGGTATGCTATGCAGATTGTGGGAACCAAGCGATCCGCCTGGGAGCGATCAGGATCTCATCCGTGGGCTTTGTGAAGTTTGCTGACGAAGACCTTGATGCACTGCAGTTAGCTGGCACCATTTCTTGGGGACCCCCAGCGGAGATCACCTATAACCAGGTCGGTCGCGGCATGTCACGTTCGAGCGTTGTAAAGAAATCAACTGTTGGGATGGAGAAGACATGGGAATTGAAAGTCAAAGAAAGACACAAAAGCTGCGTCTCAGGCAGGCTTTACCATTTCCTTGCAACTAGGGAGCTGAAGGTGTCCAGCAAGAAGTGTTCTTGCAAACGGCATTGGTTGCACAATGTTTGCCAGGACTATGTGATCTACTTTGCCCAAAGTGAAACTGGTACAGCGCGATCGCTGGTAGGCAGGAGTTGATTATCATGCCGATTCTTTGGTAGCTGCAATGTGGTAGAGAAGACTTGCAAGGACCTGACTTTATTTCCTACATTGGCTCCTCCCCCGCTCCTAAACTTCTTGTTTGGCTTCTATTATGTGTCAGGCGTGGTCCCATTGGGCACCAACTCATTGGCAGTCCCCTTGGACACCTACTTCAGTCAATTCACCCACTTCGTGGTCTACACCCGCTCCATTGCCTATGAGCAGAGCACACCCTTAGGCTTGCGACTTGAATTTCCCGGCATCATGAGTGACAAATGCGCTGAAGCATGTAAATATGCCTCGACCAAGTGTAATGCACTATCATGTACAACTGATCATGCATGTAGTATCAAACCGCAAGTCATTCAAAGACATCGGTTCGCATCATATCTCAGTGATACCGAATACCGATTCAATCAATGTTGAAAAGTCCAGGTAGGATGCTGCATGCTTTCAACTTTTAGTGATCAGGCCACGGCCTCGTGTTTTAGAATCCTTTAGATCCATGCGAGGTGTGCAACTCTATGATCACAATGGCTTGGTTCAGAACCTAGCCTTCAGCCACTTGAAGGCAACTGGATCCTTTGTGGCTGGGAGCTTCAGATCAGCGGTTGATTTCATGCAAGGTTCGATCCTTTTGTAGTGCCCGAGCGGATATTTTACATATCATATCATAATCCTTTTATACGTGAGTCAAGGGCTTTTTCATGTACCCTTTAAGGTGACAATGATTTGGACGAGAACATGCTCGGAGGCCACTGCATGAGAACCAGTAGAAACGTGCTTACTGTGCAATCGGAGGCTTGTTCAAACAGTGCTTTTGCTCAAACTTGTGCAGTTGATCGGCATGACAGGGCTTCTTCAATGGACCTTGCCTGCTGACACCTCTGCAGTGCAGCAGTACAACATCTACTTTACGCGACTCTGTTTGCAGTGCCAGTTTTCTTACCGACTTCAGCGTACTTGCTCATGCTCACTGGCTACCTCACCAGATTGATTCAGCAAACGCATTGTGGTTGCTTCCAAGAGGCTTCACATTTGTTTGTTGAATCGACTTCAAAAGTTGGGCAAAGAATATCAGCAAAGAGGCATACATTATCATACATTTAGATATTATACGCACCTCTTTCTACTAGGCTCTTGCACAACTTATGTTTCAATTCAGTGTGAAGGCAGCGAACCCCCAAGCAATGACTCCCTATTGTTGGGTCTCCCTGTTCCCATTGACAAACCATACCCGGAGAGTGTCTTCATTGTGTTTCGGACTCGACTGAGGTTCACGGCTGATCAGTTTGATCCGCTCTTCCGTCGAGACATTGTGGCCCTGGGGCTCTCTCCCAGCGCCACCCACCAAATGTTGCCTTTGGGCACGCCGGGAGACCTGGACTCGGAAACGCGCAACGGAAGTGGTCACGGTGCGACAGGCTTTTTTCCTTACTACTTCAAGTAAGAGGCCTCGGTGATCTCAATAGAGCACTGTGTAGAATCCTCATTTGAACGTTGTTGGTTTGGCGCCCCTGTGTGATGCTACGCTAACAGCGATGCCTAGGTCCAAGATCAGTGCTGATGGCTTGGAAGAGGTCTCATGCAATCTCACGGCGGCAGATGCCGTGTTTTGGCCATTTTGGAGTCAACACATTCGGATGTGTTTGCTTTGTGTTTCAGTGGGCATGCTGTTGCGTTGTTTGGCTTTGTCCATTTCACTGTGCCGGCCGACTGGTCGGAGACTGACCGTCATTGCGATGAGGTACTGAGCGTGTTTTACAATGGCAGTGACCTCTCCAACTATGTCACAGGAACATTCTCTGATCCTTGGCTGGTTTTGACAAAACCGAAGTTTGATGACGGACATTTCATCCTGTTTCCAAGAAACTTGATTGTTTCGCTGCTGGCATAGGCATTGACAAGTTTTACGCCCAGATAGGTTCCGGAAAGTTGTCCGCCTTCACTTCAATGAAGCACAGTTGTTGTGAGCATCGCGATGAGGAATGGTCTAACACCAAGAAGTTCAGCTTCCTAAAGGCCTTGCTGTGACCGGAGAGTACTGAGAACATGTTGAATTCATTCACCTGAACTTGAGTGCCTTTTTTCAGCAAGCGGGCGCAAGTTCCAAAGAAGCAAGGACGTTAGTAGGGGCTCCTGGCCGTACTACTAGGAGCAAGTATATAGCTACTAGCAACTAGAAGCTACTAGGGGCTCCTGGCATCTCTGCTAGGAGCAAGGACGCTACTAGGGGCTCCTGGCCGTACTTAGTGCAGCTCCAATGCACAGGTGCCTGGCGCTTATTTGGTCATCTCTGCCAGTAGCATGTTGACGGCCGGTGGGCAACTCAGACTTCAACTATCTTCAACTTGCCTGAGTTCCTTGTCAATGGACAGAGGAGTCAAGGGATGTCCCATGCATCACATCTATATATTATATATATATATTGTCTACTGATGTAAATGTTGATGTTTGAGCAAAGATTAGATAGCTGGGCAGCCTGTAGATTCAACTGCGCTTCATTGCAGGGAGTTTGATGAGCGCCCCGTCGGTCCGTTGCTCTCGTCGCTCAGATTGGTGCTCTCCCACAGAGAACATTTGCGTCGCAGGGACCTTCAATCAAGGTCGCTGCAGCGGTGCTTCAACCGGCATCAGTGTTGGAAGACGGACCTAGGCGTGAAAGAACTAATACAGTACTATAACTATAATGTTGTATATATACCTTATATACCGTTTCTTCCTTTACAATGTGTGCTTGGGCGTGAAAAAAACAGTCTTGACAGTCTTGACTTTTGCGTGCCACCTGGCACATTGCAAACAGTTCCAACACATGGCAGGCTTGAACTATTGCTCTGTGGCGGGCTTCAGCCTTGAATGCTCCGATGGGGTCACTGCGGGTGACATTGGTTGGGAGGCGGAGACAGATGTAACGTCTACATGGAGTGTTAAAGTTGACATGCTGCATGGCAAGTGCATAAAGTCATTTAAAAAAATCCAAAAAAGGGTCCAAACGAGCCTGCTGTAAAGAACATGTGAAAGGGCATAGTCCAGTTATATAGATCCAGTTAGCACATTCAGGCAAAGATATGGCTCACAGATATTTGGAATATATTTGCATAAAGAGTGGTTCAAACCCGCATGGCAAGTGCATAAAAGTCATAATAAAGTCCAAAAAAGGGGTCCAAACGAGCCTGCTGTAAAGAACAGGTGAAAGGGCATAGTCCAGTTAGATCCAGCTAGCACATCCAGGCAAAGACAAGGCTCACAGATATTTGGAATATAGTTGCATAAAGAGTGATTCAAAGCCTTGTCAATTGCTCACTCAAACATGTGAATCGGTTTGCCACTCGCGGCTGAAAGGCCTATGGCTCCAGCATAGATGTGGATTCTTTGCATCAGGTGTGGAGTGGCTGAGTGCGACGGTGCCGGCAATTGACCGTATTATGTAAAAGAGGACATGATTGCATGTGTATGCTATAATTAGATACACAATCACACATTGACTGTGTGAATTGAATGTGGTAGCTAAAATCCTAGACTTACCATCGAAGCCAGTGAAAGCTACTTTAAATTGTAAGGAACAGGGCTACGGACAAGGTCCATGGCCCAGAAGTATGGTTTGCTCAAGAAACGCCGTGGGAAACCAGAGGGATAGCAGATAGCAGAATGCTAGCTGCTAGCTCCTTCATTCTGACATGGCCATCATGGCCCACGACGGCAGTGATCCACATCCGGTTGATGACATGATGATGCAATAAAGAACAACTATGCCGCACTTCCGCGGCTTGAAGATATCTATAGCCACAACTCAAACAGCCAAATTACTTTGATGGATGACGCAGCACATATTGCTCTACTATGTTCCATTAATCTCAAGTCTATTTGACCGACTCTACAACTGTCTCGATCAATTCGAAGGCCGGCGGCGGCACTGGTTGGAGCACTACGTGTGCATCAGAGTCCAACTTCTACCTGTCCTGCCGCCATGATTTATGTCCATCATGCCGGATCCATCAACGACAAAAAGCATCATACCCGTCTTCGGCTCATGCACGGCCAGGATTGAGAACTCTCTCAGTGCCAAAATCTGGGCCTCTGCGGGTTTGCAGCACGCTGCATTCCGAAACTTGTCAAGAAACGGAGAAGTCACCGCCCGAAAGAACTTTGTACACCCTGTATTTGACGAGTTTGATGATTCCATTCTTTTAAAGCTCATTTGGCCTTTCACAGCACTTTGCTTGTGCTTGCTGTGTTTTAGAGTGGACCAGCAATGTGGATCAAAACAGCTTATATCAGCTTCAACTGTGGCGATCCTTCACTTCGCACTCAGGACTTCTCAGCGGTTCTTTGTCGCCCACTCGTTTTTGCCTTGGCTAGAGCTTGACAAGAGATGTTGGTCCTTCGGTCCAGTTCATTGGAAGACCAGCCAAAAGCGTTGAGTCAAGGGTGCTCCCAGATGTCACAGGTGTCTTTTGATGGGAGTATTGGAATGTATTGTTTCAATTGCACAAGAGAGACCATGCTTTCCGCTGGAAATGTTGCCACATGTCACATGTTGCCGCTATAGGCAATGAAACCTACTCCCACTTTATGGTCTATGCAGAATCTACTTTGGCAGAGTCTGGCCCTGAGAGGGTGACAGCATCGAGATGCATCAAGGCACTTACAACAACCCAGAGAGTCCCAGGGGTATCTTTTGCACGTGCTTTGGTTGAAAACCTAAACTTTGCACCGGCCACGCTGACCACGCCCGACCACGTCCAACCAGCACTCACACTATATAATACCATCGCTAGTGTGCACGCTTTGATGACTTTGAGCTCAGCCTTTCAAAACAATCACCCTGATGTTATCATGTTCCATCATCACACATGTAGACAAGTACGTGCAATACGTAGAAGAAGCGTATGTACTCGCCACTTCATCGACAACATCCTGCCATGCAACAGCTGTGGGAACTGAAAGGCATCCAGAGTGGAACGACAGAAACTATTTTGTAAAGCAATCCCTGGGAATCGACTATTTGTTTCCAAACAATTTGCCAATGGATTGATCATCAGTGATATCCACACTTTTTTTCCGCGTGTATTAATGTTCTTTTTTTGATCAAAGCATGTCCACATGCTTGCTAAACTTGAGAGGGTAGGGACCACGGCAAAGTTTAGGATTACCACGGCAAAGAATAGGATGACCGCGCCAAAGTTTAGGATGACCACGCCGGAACCACGCTGGAACCACGCACCGCCATGACCCAATCTCATCAAATTCAACCCAGATCATTTCCCTTGGTCGTTTATCAAATTGGCATCAGTCAGGCCAGCATTGATTCCCCTTCCCTGAAAGGATTTCCAAGTCAGCTTGAGCATCACACAGGCGGCTGGCACAGAAACAGTCTTATTAAGGTCCAACACATGTCGAGAACAGGTATAGTGCATCCATGAACCATTTGTTTGTGTGGATGTGCTTTTTGAATACTGACCACGGGCCATCTCTAATTGTATCCCTCACAAGCAGGAAATATTTGCTTCGCTGAACGAAGTATGTCATAGATGATCTATTAACTATTTATCCTTCAGGATCGATGTGTGAACCATTTGGTGCCTCACTACCCTACATGCTCAGCCCCTGCGCATGGCAAAGTTCGGCCCTAGTTCAGTGTCTTTTGGCAAAGTTTGACCTTTTCCTAGGGGTATCCTTTGCATATACTTAGACTTACTGGGACAAAGCAGCTCAAGGCAAAGCAAGGCACGAAAGCCTTGAAAAGCCATGTAGACGTTCAATTCGTTTAGCATTTCTGGTCACGCTGGTCGGGTCGGATGGGATGCACAAAGGCAGACGACCCCTGCAGTCCTGCAGATTGTTGACAGTCCGTGGCCTCATGATTTGAAGTCAACGAAAGTAAGAGCCGCAAAGAACGAAAGCAAATTTACATGTTACATCATATTACCTCTCAATGCCGTGTTTGCTAGCAGAACAGAGTGAGAAGAGTCAACAAAGTCACATAGTCAGTCTTGAGGTTCAATTGATGTGGTTACGAAATTATATATATATAATATATACCCAGAAAGTCCAATTAAGTCAGGATCACTACTGGGCACAGCATTGTTCACCGGGAGCTGTCTACCATACTGGTACTAAACAAATGATCAAGGAATCACTACCCACATGAAAAGAAACTCAAGTTTGGAAGTTTGGAAGGATCGGAAATCGCTCAGTTCCGGGTGTTGAGGCATTGCCTCAGTGGATTACATGCGGTTCGTGGACGAGGACGAAGACCAATGACATGCTGAAGCGGGGTTCATGCGATGAAGACTTGTGAACACAATCTGAGAATGTTGAAGGATTTGACAAAAATTGAAGTGTTGTTTTTGGTGTCTCTTTGAATAAAAAGTGTGGAGTCATACCTTGCTTTATGGAGATGTGCCAAGATTTATGCTTTCGCCCTTTCAGAGCCATGCTGGAGAATGCGTAAGGCTAATGGCAATGGCCTCCAACCTAGAAGCGATGGCCTCTAGGAATGGCATCCAACCGTCTTCTCAGAAATTGGAGTTATCAGTTATCACTCTGCCGGTGGTGATTCAGCGACGCTTGATCATTTTGCTAAGCAGATTGACGCTGTAACACTTAGTCAACCGCGAAGGACTTAGGTTTGGCATCGATTGGAGGGGAAGTACGGTGGAATCCGGTGGGAGATATTCAGCTGGCCTCGGCCTACTCTGCAGCGTGGCCGCACGGGTCTTTGAGTGCTGCCACTTAGCACGCGGACCTGTTGGTCAATTGACTAAGTGTCAGAACACCATGTCATGTTGGTCTTTTTTCAGATGCTTTTGACGTGTTGGGTCAGCAAACCCAAGACTATTTTGGACAGCATGGTTGACTTGTACCTATCCGACATATATAATTATAAGCAGCATCTCTGCTGGAGAGATCCGGTCCAAGAAGGTTGATATTCCAGTGTTTACTGTACCCTTCAGTTCACAAGAATTTTGTTTATGAGCTTGACACAGCAGCCTACAGGAGGCAGGACTGCAGATGGGCAGATTCATCCAGATCCCAAAGTGCTCGAGTTACAAACATGTAGAACTCGAGATCCTCATGGTACACAACACACTCCAGATGGGGTGAACCGGGTTAACCTGACCTGAGGTCTATTTGGCCACTGATTCGAGTGGAGCGGATCGATCCTTGTTGGGTACGTCGCCAGTGGGTACCACCGTGCTGACAGTACCCCAGGTTCGGAAAGAGAAATTGCAAGAATCTGAGTAAGGACTAGTTGGAAATTGGCTGGCTAGTCCATTGTCCATTGCTGTTTGGTCAGCAGATTCGGTTTGTTCTTGTTGAAGAAGATATGCAGCGGGGCATACAGCACAACGCAATTAAACGGATAGAGTCTTTGGCTTTGGGCAATTGCATGGACGGATTGCAGGGCACCTTGCTGACCCAAAACTTCACTCACGTCGTGATCTACGTTGAGTTTGGTGCCTCAGAATCAGGAAACTTGAGCACCTGGTGGATCCTGATGTCCTGTAGAACCATGCTTGACTTGCGCTGAAATGAGACATGGATTGCTGGAGGTCCTTCTTGGTCCAGCAACGTTTGCCAGCATGGTCCTTGTTCCTCGTGGCCGGGCACTCAAAAAAGGTGTTTGTTTTCGCATGTTTGTCCACATTGCATGATGTTTGTATACCTCCACAGATGAAACAGCTATTTGTTCTACCTACTTGGGTCCTACAATGATGTGGTAACTGCGGGAAAAGCATAGCAACCACACCTCGTACTATGTTCTGAGGACGAGTACGAAGGCCTTTGCGAGTCCGATGTGTGCGGGTTCGGTGGTGGCCAGCCGTCTGAGGGCCTAGATGTGTCAAAGTGTCAAGGTTTGCAGAGGAATTGCAGGGGAAGGCCACAGACATGCTGATGTTTCTATTGTTTGTGTCCCGCTTTCGGCTCCAGGAATTTGTGCTTCTCTCAGCAATGTCACAATAGACATCCTTTCACCGTTGTGGCCGCGATTTTGTCGCAGCTGGCGGATGCAAAGGCTCCTGCGGTTCCTGTTCCTTTCTTTGAGACAAACATGTTTGGTGGCTTGTACCGAAATTACCAGAGCTCCACTCGCCAAAACGAGGTGCAGAAGATCTACACAGCCATTAATTACAAGCCATGCACTTGAACCAAACTGTGGATTTTGTGAAGGAGATGCAAAGTTTGACAAGGTTGAGTTCATGATCATTGATCATGAACTGATCCTTGTCAATCATGGAAACTATTGAGATGTTGGATGAACTTGTTGATGACTCTGACCCAGATGTGGACACCCCAAATAGCATTCATGATTCCAAACTGCCGAGAGCATCCGGGAACAGTGGCCTGGAGACGAGTATGACTGGTTTTGTGTAGTCGGGTTGCTACATGACATCGGCAAAGTCATGGCCTTGCCATGCCTTGCCCAAGATTGCCGGAGATGGTATCCTGGAGCAAGGCAGTGGTCTTCCCTGAGACTTTCGATTCAAGGCCAACCCAGACTGCAATCACCCATTGTATGGCAGCAAGTACGGAATGTGCAAGCTCCTTTGTGGCATCACCAATTTGATGTTTCCTAGGGCCACGACGAGTACATGTACCAGATGCTTACATTCATTGAAATTCAATGGGAGCGCGCTTCCAGAGCAGGTCTGAACATGATCAGACTGCACTCCTTCTACCCCTGACAAGACAATCGCGCTGACAAGACAATCGCGCTTACATTAAGTTTGAGCGCGAAGAGGATGAGACCTTGAAATGGGTCAAGCAGTTTAACAAGTTTGGACAGATTTGTACTCTAAGGGTGATGCTCTTCCCAATGTTGAGGAGTTGAAACCTTACTACATTTCGAAGAAGTACAACATCGGAAAGCTCAAATGGTGATTGGGTTTCTAGATGTTTCAATAGCCCTTTCGAGTTGAAGCACTGTTTATATCTTTTGGTGAGCTGCCAACCCCACGCGTCGTAATGGTTCCTGAGAGTTCTGACACGATTCTTATGTGAATTCACTGGAAGTTGTTGGAAATTCGGAATTCATTTTTGGGTCGCAAGGATTCATCAGTAAAGGCGGCTTGGCCTTGGGAGAATCGAACTAGAGTTCTGGAGGCTTCCGGAGTGCTGGAAATTCATGATCAATTCACTAGATTATCTAGATTCGACCGCCAGTTAATTCGCATGATGCAATATTCCACATTTGAGCGGCCTAGGCCTAGGGCTAAAAATAGACTGCGGAGACGTCTTCGAGTCATCTGAGTCTCACTGGAACCGTTTGAGTGTTTTTTTCATAGTGGATTATGTATATATATATAGTCTTCCTGTTCGCCCTCTCATTGAACAGCGCATGCCATTTTGAATGCAAATGAGGACCCGTGTTGGCTCCTGCACCACTGCAGCTGGTGTTGCTCTCAGTATGGTTGCTACATCATAGATCAGCCGCCCAGAAGCTTTCTCAGGACTCAGGATGTGTGCTAACAGTGTAAAATAGTTCAACAACCTTTGGTGGATGTGATGTGGCTTGTTTAATTTGCTGACCTCGAAGGTCGTTTTTGTCGCCACATCTTAGTGCTTGCGTTATCAGACAAATGTGTCCATTGCCAGTACCAGGCTGCAGTGATTGCGACTTGAATCCTTTGCGTCGAAGTCTCAGTGCAACCAACCTGTGCAAACAGACTGCACCTGATGGACTTTACTTGTTAAAGTCTTAGAGCTTGGAAAGGTTTTGATGTTTGTGTACCATACAGTACATGTCAAACGTCTGTGTACCCACGTATTTTTTATGTGTTAATGATGGAGATCAGGCATTCAGACCATCACTACAGCCATCGCGGGAGACATGGTCCTGATCACCACGGAGGCTGCGGCCGGCGGCAGTGAAAGCTGCTAAAGAGGCTATAAGGGTTGCGTTCAAAACCATGAGAGCAATTTAAGCAACCTTCAAGCAACTTCAAAAGAACTCTTTACTGACCCTATCTTTCTACATGTGTCCTTCGTCTTAATCCAGCCTTTGGAACATGTTTGGAAGTTCTTGGTGCTTAAAGCTTACGACACTCACGAGCTTGGATTCGTCACTGCACTTTCATTGCCTTGCTTTGGTAGCCCTACTACACCGGTGGATCTTGCGGCAATTGCAAGGCAGGGACTGATGTCTTCAACTTCTGGTCAAAGCTGTCCTCGTCACTTGGCTTCACTTGTGTGGACAGAAGGATACCAAATTCAGGTTAAGACTCGTTAAGACCATTTGAGTAACATGGCAACAGTTACAGAGGAAGGTGAGTGTCATTTTTGTCAGAGCAACCAACCAGGACCATGGTCCAGGCTCGCCCACCCAAGCTATGCTTTGTGGTAACCTGTCTTTTGTGCCACTACCTGCTTTGATCCTTTCCGTTCCCTCAAATGAAAGACTAGATCCCTCCATGTTCAACCGCATTCGCTTTCCCGGCCGATCCAAGGTGTGGAGTGACCATTCTGGACGTGCATTACTACAAGGCCGATCCTGTTCAATCAAACGCGCGATGGCCTCCAACCAAACATATGGCAAGTCCTTTGCACAAGTGCAACTCTGTGCAGCCCGTATACGCAAAAATACTAGGAAGTAACAAGAATTTAAAACATATGAAAGGAGGACACAATAGGAATGTAAAGGGTCTATACTATAAGACTTCCTTTAAACCCTTGACCTTCCTTGTTTTCATCCGTTGGACTCCCAGGGTCAAAGCAGCTCTGATTCCACGCCGAGGCGATCGGGCCAACCACTCCGAGCACCACCGACACCACAGTAAGCTTTCAATGCCGTCGATCCGGCGGCGTTAGATGCTTGTTTTTCGTTTTTTTTTCCCCGTGAAGTATCAAGGAATGAAGATGGGTGAAGCATGAAGTATCAATGAATCATTGTGGGGTTCCTGATGTTCTGGGGATGGTTGTCGTTCAATGAGTATCAGCCCTAGATGCCAGGCTTTTCATGTCTACCGGGCGCAGACTGCAGGAGCCCGAGCAGAGGAGATTCTTTTGTATACCATGGAAACATACAAACATCAAAGTAGGCATTGAGTACAATTGAGAACTCATTGCTTGCAATACTACAATTGGACCAAGCACGCTGCTGGTGTGTCCAAGCAGAAGATTTATTTGAACACACCTGCAGGGAGATGGATCGTTCGAATCAATGGACTTGATCGATCCATGTGATCGAAAGCTGAGTTGAGCGATGCCCTAGCGATGCACTTGTTACTAGTAGCGATGCCCTTTGCTCCTAGTAGCTTCTTGTTCCTAGTAGTAAGGCCAGGAGCGCCCCTAGTAGCGTTCTTGTTACTACTAGTAAGGCACTTGTTACTAGTAGCGATGGACTTGTTACTAGTAGCGTCCTTGCTCCTGACTTTGGGGAGACTTGTTGGATGCATCACGATACATTTGGATACCTGAATTCAGGTCAGACCTGTGTTGCGGCGGAGCAGGGCATCGTCAGTGGAACCACTGTGGCCTGTTTGGAGAATAAGTACAATCACAGTACCACTTGGTGGTCTTTTGTTGTCTTCAGGCAAGCTCAGGCTGAGGTTCTTCTTTGGAAGTATGGCTTGTTTGGCTTGCCCAGCAGCTTTTTGCGCAGGAGCAAAATGGGTCATGACTTTATTGATCCCTTTCCTGTATCAAGAGAGGTGCCATAGGGACCTCTTTGGACTTCACCAAGGTGGACGATGATGGTTATTCGGTTTGGCGCTATTTGGCCTGTTCGGGCACCTGAGAGTTCTTGAGGTGCGTTTGCAGCAGATAGTGGAGGTGACCTGTGAGCGCCCGTCACATGTGATCCTGATATGGTTTTGAAATTAATATTTGTGTGGAAGTTTGTTAGGCTGATGATTCTGGTGCTATGTCACCAATGGATGGCATTCAAGCTTAAGAAAGTGGAGTAATGACTGGATTTAGGCAGGATGTAGTGATGCCTTCTGCTCCCTGTGAAAGTGCTTGTTGCCACTTGCGCAAAAGTGCTTGTTGCGTGCAGAACCTCGCTGGCCTGAGGTGCCTTCCGTGGCCTGTCCAATGCAGCAGATTCGGTCACTCAGCTAAGATTCGACGACGGTCAATGGCGGATGACCAGCTAGATCCAGCTAATATGGAGAATGGTTGCGGTTGGACATAGAGAATGACAAGAGGAACAATTGAGTTGGATGCATATGGATGAATCACATTAAGTACAACTTTCTATGAACAACAACACCGTGGATGTGACTTCAGACTTGCCTTCAGGAGCTCACCTACTCCTACGTCTTTTCCAAAGGGGTCTACCTGGGCTCCGCAGCAGAGGCAAAGCCTGCAGAGATGAACGCGGATCGTGGGAAGTAGACGTCATGCTGGATGGGCCCGTGTGGTATTGGTTTGGACATGTGGCAGCAGCCGTGACCTACTTGCTCACCTACAAAACCTACGTGTTCTTTCCTGTAAAATCTATAGATAACTGATGATAAATGCACAGATAAAGTCTTAAAGTCCAGATTGGTCGACACTAACAGTCCGTTGAAGACATCTCAAGGCTGCAATTACTGGCTGCGAGCCATACATCATGGCCAGTGGCTCAGATTCTGTCACTCCAGTGCGACCGCGAACAGCGTTTGAAACATCAACCCACACCGATACATCAATGCGATCCATTTGAACCGAGATAGACTGGTACAAAGGTCCATTTATAGAAACCTTGTTGATCCTTGTTGTAAAGACATGTTCGTGCATGCGGTGCCATTTCGTTGATTTTGGATATTAATGCATTGCTAGAACAATTGTTTGTTTGTTCATGGGGAGACGATTACTATTGTGTGCTGTCTTGGCTTGGCTTGGCCTGGCCTGGCCTTGCTTGCTGGTTGGCTAGCTGGCGCTGCAACTGCTGCTGCTGGACACCATCTCCATAAATAAGCACTTGGCCATGGGTCAAACCCTTGGGACGCTAGTTGACCTCAGAAATGAAATCGTTTGCACGGGATTTTGGTTTTGCTGCCGCAGCATGATTTTCTTCCGTCAAAGACAAGAACCAGTGTTGCCCAGGCCGGCAAAAGGACCATCAGTCGCAAGGGTGTCTTCTAATTTTTCCGTGTTTAACGGCCAGCGATTGATCCTACATGCAGAGTTTTGTGGTCGTCATGGGATGCAGCGAGTTTAACGGGGAAGGAGATGAATGTGCTTCAGTCGTCAAGGGTTGAGCAATTGCGAAAAGCTTTGTTATACAGAAGCTGAATGGTCAACGACTTGAAGCTGAGCTCAGGCAGTTGCATCAGAGCCTCCCTTCCAGTTGGCGAGCGTCAATGTGGGTTGTACAGGACTAGTTTGGCTCTCAGGCGATTGCAGCGTAGCCTCCGGTGTAGCCTGAATATGCAAAGCATTAGGAGGTGTGGGACTTGGGTGCTAATCTACGGTGCTTTCCTGGCATCCAAGGCATGCGAGTTGAAATGAATGGAGGCGGTGCCCAGTCTGTTGGCGTTGACGTCCCTCAGAGCTGCTCCATGCTCCATGGGAGCTTTGGAGAAAGCAATGTGATTCTTGGGGACCAGGGTGGATGGGGTATGATGGGGTGTATTGATGTGTATTGTATTCTGAAGGACTATCACGCAAAACACATTCTAGTCATGGAGTTCTAGTTTTCCTGCGCATTCATTGTATGACGCTTGGCAGGTGTCCAGAAACAGAACGTCGTACCATGAGAGTTGGGAGGCGCTTAGGGAGTCGAGTACCATGCAAAGCATACAAAGCCATAAGATGGCGAGTGGTTCTCAAAGCAGATACCTATGCTACAGCCTATGATCTATGATACCTAACAAGTTCTTTAGAGGGTTTGAAGCACGGACTTCAATATCCACACGCTAATTCGGAATTTTGCAGTACTCAACTCCTGGAGCACTTTCAACAATCTCTCATATTGGTGGATGTTTGTGGTCTCATTGTGCCCTTTGCTTAAAATTTCCAAGTACAGTAGTTCCTTATGTAAAGAGCTCAGAAGTGTTTTAAAGCCAGAGATGATACGACGCGACTGGTCTTTGAAAGACAAATCAAGGCAGCAAGGGATTGCAGTGGATCACGAACAGCAGCATCCAACTGATCTTATTTGCCACGGAAGAGATGTCAGAATAGGCGGACTTTAAGCAGACTCTGAATAGGCCAATGAGCCTTCCTTTGGAGCAGACGTGCGATCTGACCTTATCTCGTGGTGTTTGAAATGATGAAATGCACGCTGTGTGAGCGTATTGGCATGTTTAATAATTGTTTACTGTTGAGTTGTGCACGGTGAAATGCGTTTCAAAGAATTTGGCAGAGGGTCACTTGCTCTTCAGCCCCAACGATCCGCGCATTTGGATCAAGCCGTGTGGCTACAGGCTGCATCAAAAGACACAACTGCAAGGAAGGTGACATTTTCTTTGCAACTGTTTGGTTTGAAGTATCTAGAAATCATGACCCATGCAGTTTCTTCCACAGTGTGAGGCTTCAGCAAAATGTGACGTTGCGGGGTTTGTGCGTTTGTCTCGCATGATGTTCGATTGACCGGATTCATACATTGATGCCTTCTGCTCCCGCATCACCAATGGTCCGCCTCTCATGCTTCCCACAGCACAGTCCCAGAAATCGGCTTTTGAGTCTCAAAGAGAAGACTGCTTGAGAACAGATCGAAATCAGAAGACTACTTGTAGAGTCAGAGTTCACGGTTAGTTGTTTGGCAAACTCTTAGCCGTTTAGCCTTTGTTTTGATCTCAGACATTTCCAACGAGGGAAGTGCACACAGATCCCAAGCCCCCTGCAACCTGGCTAGTAGAAATGCAGTTCGCAAGCAAATTCTTTTGACTCAGGTAGGGACGAAGGGATCCACAAGCGTTTGATGCCGAGCCCGTTTGAATTTGTCATTATGATTAATTTCAGTGTGTATGCCGGAAAGACTCGTTGCTTTCCTGAACGAAAATTACAATTAGCTTCATTCGGATTCACCTCAGAGGCACTCAGCCTACAAAGGACATCTAAAGTGCTGAAACGCCCCCAGCATGCATCACCTAGACACTTCCCCTGTTTTCCTCGCAGCAGCAAGTTGTCTCTGAGGGCTCTAGAACCAGCGGCACAAAGACGCTAGCTGACTCTGGCCGCTCCCAGATAGAAACTTGGATTGAAAAAAGAATGCACTTGGCATGTGATGAAAGGTGATACGCGACCTTGGAAGACTGTTGTCAGAAATAGACAACCATGATCACCTCTGACATTTTGATGCATGATGCATCATGGCAAGTCATGGCAAACCTAACAGAATCATGAGGGAGCTGAATGATTGGAGGTCTCTAGTATTCTCTAGTATTGTCTATGAGTTAAGTTTCCCTAAAGATCTAGGAACCAAATGAATAGTGCGAGCGCTAGCCTGCGTTCTAGGTAGTGGCTACTTAAGCTACTAGCTACCTAGCTTCTACTAGCTACCTCTAGCTACTACCTCCCTCTACGACCTACTCCCCCCCAGGCTTAAAAAAAAACAACGCATGTATTCTCCCTGGTCGCCGTGACAAGCCAGCTTGGTTCGTTGGTCGAAGGGCGGACTAAGCTCCATGGGCCCAGACTCGTCGGTCCCGGTCAGTAGTGCTCAGCACAAATGGACAGACTCGGATGGACTCATAGAGGTGGATCTTTGGAGTCTCTTACTCTTCCAATTTGGGGAGAATACCCAGGATATATTTATAACATATATATATAGTACCTTTTTTTCCCCAAACAGTGTGGACACACTAGGGGTTCTTACAGTAAGTGTAAAGGGCCGGTGTCTAATCGAGGTGTTGCGCATCCGTGTCCGGCTAATTCGCTGCTATTTACAGTACATTCACGCCTCTCGAAATCCTCGAAGTGCATTTCGACTGCGCAGGCTCGCAAAATCTGCTTGGCCGCGGCGGGTGCCCCACAAGAGTGTCCTATAGAAGTGCCTTGCAAGAGTGTCCCCACAACAGTGTCACAAGAATATCCGACAAGAGTGTCCGTCCCACAAGAGTGTCCCGCAAGAGTGTCCCACGAATGTCCTACAAGAGCATCCCAAGTGTCCGACAAGAGTGTCTCGCAAGAGTGTCCTCCCACTAGAGTGCTTCCGTAAGAGTGTCCCACAAGAGTGCTACGAGACAGCTCTGCAAGAGTGTCCGACAAGAGAGTGTCCCACAAGAGTGACACACAAAAGTGTCATGGCGCATAACCATCGGCAAGCCGATGGCCTACCAGTGCTTTCTAGATAACGTGGGGAACTTTTGACGGTCTTGTATGAACTTTAAATGTGTTGCGCAACTCTCTATTAATTCATCAAAACTGTTTATCTTGGAGTCTGTTTGGGTTGCGGAGTCTGATTCCAAAAACTGTGATTTTGACTGTATGCATTTATATGCATACTAATGGAGCACCCACACGAAGCCGGTGTCTCCGTGTTGCCAAATTCGAGAGCCCAGGAGCCGCTGAAAGTGAAACTGGGCTGGGAGGCCCAAGGTGACAAGTGCAAATAATCCGCGTTGTTTTGTTGTCCTGTGCTTGCACTTTATTTCGCTTTATTTGAAACAAAAACCAAAGACTTCCCAGGCAAACACAGACGACAAGAAAGCAAGAACCAGGTTAATCAATCATATCGTGGTCTCGGTTGTGTCATAATGGTTCTAACCCAATATGGAAGACCTGGGTCGACGATGGATCCAACTATGGGCCAACCGCCTCAGCTGTTCTGGCTCTTGCATTATAGCCATTCCTAGCTAGTCAACATGGGCCTTACCTTCACGAAGATTTGGGGGCGATTGCTGGGAGTGAAGGCGCATGAAAAAGGTTTATTGTTGTGGGAATGTCGAAGATAGTCAGTGTTGAAGACATCGCGACATCGGTGATGTATTGACTGAACGCACTTCTTATGATCGTTATATGTTGGCCGGGTTTATCTCTTCTACACATTGCTGCCAAGTTCATGTCTTTGTATTATCTAGCAACACCGAATCTCCAGGAGAGAAAAATTGTGATGGTCGGATTGGACGCCGCTGGCAAGACCACGGTCCTTTACCGGCTGAAGCTGAATGAAGTGCTGATGACGATCCCGACGATAGGCCTTTTTGGGGTCGCACTTGCCATCCATGACAACCCGAGAAGCTTTCCGCTGGCCATCATTGGCATGGGACAATTTATGACAGTTTGCATTGTTTGCAGACATAAAGTGATCTTCTAGGGGGATCTAGTTTTCCATTTTCCCAATTTAGACACGAAAGCCAATTGCCGATGGTAGATGAGATCTGAGTTCCGAGTCGCAGGCTTCAACGTAGAGACCGTGGAGTACAGAAACTTGCGCCTCACCGTTTGGGATATTGGTGGTGCCATAGCTGTTTAGACTTTCAGAGATTGGCCAAGTACTTCAGTGAAACAGTACTTCAGCACTCTGTTTTTGGATGCAGTTCTGACTGTTTCACTATTTTGACTAATGTTTTTTTCACATGTTGATTGGATGCCCTTCTTTGTTGTTGCTCTTCATTGATTCTGGGCGACGCAGATGGGGCACATTCCGTGTGGTGTGCTCAGGTCAAGACATCATCCGACCACTCTGGAGGCATTACTTCCTTGGTACCCACGCGATGATATTTGTTGTGGACAGTGCCTTGGAGTTGATAAAATGGATGCATGCGAGACAAACACGGTCATGACAATTGTGTGCGCGTTTTATTGTGCATGTACTTCTCACAGCAGAATGCATTCTTGCTGGCACCGTGTTGCGGCTTGACACTGGGCGCCATAACTTGCAAGCCTTTTAGAATCATTTAGACTTGCGACAGCAGCGGCCTCGATGTCACAACGGCCGGTAACATGCTTCTCCACCCATACCTGAAGATGACAAATGAATGTGTGTGTGTGTGTGTTGTTTGTCGACAATATATTAGTTAATAGTCATTACTACTTTTGCTACAAACACACTAATAGTGATTGTAGATCCAGCGGTCCAAGGGACAGACAAGATTAAACATGCTGGGTTTGACTCATGTTTACCAGCGTTGAACTATCTATATTAGCATATATTAGCCATACACCCCCATGACCATTGTCGGTCAGTTTAGCTTCAGCCAAATTAGTACACCACTGACCATACATCACCAAGCAGTAGTTGCCGCATGTTTGCCGTTCAACTTGCATTTCAGAGAACTCGAACATGAGCTGATGAGCCAGATGGAAGCTAGTACATTGGACTCGTAAACCTATTCAATGAAAGATTGCTGTGTTCTCCCGGGCGCAGCACTGCCAATTGGGCGCCTTTGGGAGCTAAGGCTCTGATCACAAGCGCATGCAGGAAGCAAGGGAGGCCAGTTCAGGGGTGGGAGTTCAAGCCGGGCAATTAAGATGCTTGATGCTTGTACTTTTGTCGCCCACTAAGCTCATCGGGTTCCCTGTTTCAGAGATCGCTATCACGGAGGAGCTCTGGACCATGTTAAAGGAGCCTGACTTCACGCCCCAGGCGGGTTCATGTGCCAATTGCAGAGTTTTGGCTCAATGACTCGTGACTCATGGTGACATGGGGCACTGAAGTTTGTTAGAGTGTGTCTTGGATAGAATCAAGCCTTGGCCAGGCGCCGGTGCTGATTTTGGCCAACAAGCAGGATCTCCCCGATGCCATGTCAGCCAAAGAGGCCTAGTAAGCGTGCCAAGAACGCTTAGTCGTTAGGGACTACAGGTTGGCAGAAATGAGGCCTAAGATCATTTCAACATGGTTACTATGTTGCGATCCTGGCTCCCATCATGTTTAAAAACCTGAACCCAAAATGCTCAGCTTTTGTGCCACAGCTCATGTGACCGAAACCAGGTCACCGAACAGTTGGGCCTCTCTGAGCTTCGAGGCCGAGCATTCCACGTGCAGCCCAGCAGCGCACCCAAAGGCCCAACGTCGGCGACGGACTTCTGCTTCGTCGGGTTCGCCACGGTTTGCGACGTCAGTTGCTCAGTGACATTGTAAGAAAGAAAAACGGTTCGCTGGTCGAGGAAAAAAACTAAGTTATCATTGACTCATATACATATATATTTTAATATATATATATATATTTATTTATTTATTTTATGTTTTATATATTATATAAGAGTTTGGACGAATCGTTTCGTTTTTTTGCATACATGGCAAGGTTTGTTCAGGTGGTTCTTGTGTGATTGAAAGAGATGAGAGAGGGATGTGTGCATGTTTGTTTGGGGGTGCTTGTTTTAGTGTTCACGGAAAGTTGCATGAAATAGTTGAGTGCTTGGCAGCTGAGCTTTTCAAAAGCCTGGGGCCAAACTACAGTGGGTTCTGAATAGGCCAGCTGTAGCCACGCGTCTCGACTTAGCTGTGTTGTTCAAGAAAGACCTCAAGTAGGTCAATGTTGCAGACATCCGGGGTTCACGGTTGAATCTCTCTTGCCTCGACAGGTGAAGGTCTCTTCGAAGGACTCTTGGTGATGAAGGGTGCAACACATGCTGTAGTTCTTCCATGTTCTTCGACCCCGCTGGCCCTACTAGGAGCAAGAAGCTACTAGGAGCAAAGGGCATCGCTACTAGGAGCAAGGACGCTACTAGGGGCTCCTGGCCTTACTACTAGGAACAAGAAGCTACTAGGAGCATGTTCTACAGCGCTTTGTGGTGAATCCACCGAGCGCTGAGCGCCCAACTTTGGGATCTTCCGGCGCCCTTGCTTGGTAGCTTCTTGTTCCTAGTAATGTGCAGTGTTACCAATAGCGATGCCCTTTGCTCCTAGCTCCTAGTAGTTTCTTGTTGCTTGACCTTCCTTCGTCGTGTGCTTCTAAGGATTGGACTGGCTGTCAAGAGCCATGACGAAGCGCGACTCTGCCGTGTCGCTTCGGTGGATGTAATGATGCTACAGCTCGATGAGAAGCAGGACGGGGGGGTTGAGGATTGACAAAATTGAACTGGAATGAATAGGGAGTCTTACCTTATCAAAGACCGTTGTTGGGTTGAAGAGGAACCTGGTCAAGTGAAGGTGATGATGAGCCCCTGTGCATTTCAGAACCACAATTCCTTCGGATTGGGGGTTGTCAGAGCTGCAGCTCTTGAATAGGATGCAGAGTCATCAATCATGGAAGTGAGAGACACATTCTTCTTTTATTATAGGATGGTCCAGTCCAGGAGCCTTTGCACTGCATCAGTGTTTGCAGTCTTGCCGTGTGCAAGAAGCACTGAGCTTTGCTTTGTCCAAAGCAGTTTAACTGTATTCCTGGGATTTCCTGACATTCGAAGCTTTGTTTTGCAGTCGTCTTTCAAAGCCTAAGCCTGCCAGTGCTTGCCATGCACACTGTCTTTCAGCAAATCCAGGAAACATTGTTTCTTTGGCATGACTAAGTTGTCAGTAACAGTAGGGAACACAAGTACAGCGCAACTCTGAGGCAGTCGAACATGCACAAGCATGACCTCAGAGCCTGTAACAAATATCACGAGCCACCTGAGGTCCCTTGACCTGTACAGTTGTAAACAAAGGGACCTCGTTTCAATCTCGCGGTAGACCTTTTGAAAATGACCATTCATGAGGCTACTAGGTTGGAGGCCGTCGCTGTTAGTAGGAGCGGTTCAGGGATAATAAGCCAGTTGTTTGGGCTATATAGATTTTGCACATTCATGTCTTTCATTGTGGAAGCCTATGTAACATCTTCTCATATCCTCTCTTTCTTAAAGAACATGCTCGAGAAGAGTAGCTGATTGACGTCCACATGTTTGGTTCATTGTTACTTGAGCAAGATTTGTGGTCATGAAGCCAGGCTTCTCAAGCCTCAAGCACCAACCCGACATTTGCTTCGTTTCCAGCAGCCATGGGACTTTCTTTCACGAAGATTTGGGCACGCTTGGCTGGGAAGCAGGAGCCAGCATGACTGACACTTCCATGATGGTTGCTGTGACTGTGAAGACCTATTGGGGTGAGTCAGAAAGCCGTTCATGAGTCTGTTCATGATATTTGAGATGTGAATCATCGTAACAGCCACCCATGTCCTGCCCTTCAATTGTGCAAGGATCGAAAGATCGTCATGGTTGGCCTGGATGCAGCTGGAAAGACCACTGTGCTGTATCAGCTGAAGCTTAATGAGGCGCCTGAAAGACAACGAAACTGGGAGGCCTTGCTTTCAGAGCTTTGGTCACGCGCAGCGAAGTAGCTTTCGTTCACCGTCGTTCTTTGCCTTCGAAGTAGTGCGCACTTGGCCTTGCATGTTTTGAACACAGCCAAGAACCTGTTTCGCCTGTTGACCCTGATGTGCTTCCCTGCAGGTGCTGATGACAATCCCAACCATAGGCGTGCGTGGGCTGGTTGTGTCACGTTTACTAAACCGTGTGCAACAACAGCGATTTGAAGCACCTTCCAAGGTTGCCAAACTCAAACGCTTTTCTGCCGCCATGGTGCGCCTTTTGCCTGTCTGTCGTCAGCCAACCACGCCTGGGTAAGTGTCCGTCATTGCTTGGTGAAGAGAGCAAAAGTTGCTATTAGAAACAAGTGCATCGCTTCTAGTAACAAGTGCCTTACTAGTAGTAACAAGAAGCTAGTAGTAACAAATCAAATTTAGATTAATGGCGAAGCAGTTTGAGCCCAAGCCCACACGAATTGATCAAACGATAGGCTTCAACGTGGAGACCGTGGAGTACCGGAACATCCGGTTCACTGTTTGGGATATCGGAGGCGCTGTAGCCGGCTGTTCACTTTTAGAGAGAGTTCAGACACTTCATGAGGCTAAAGTTGACCATGTGACACCCAGTTTGGCCCTAAAATGCACTAAATACGATATCCGCAGGCATCATGTGTTTTTTCTGGGTCCTTGTTAGCAGAAGGCCCTGGGCCAGTCATGAATGACACCTGTAAACCTGGCAAGCCGGAGATATCTGAGTGTGCTTGACTTGTTTTGGTCACTTGTTGCTTCCCAGCAAACCCGCATTGAGACTTCAAGTTCTTTGGAGTGTGCTGTACGTTGCTTCTTCTAGCGCTCATGTGGTCAGCCATGATTGCTGCCCAAGTACCCACTGCATGTTTCCTTCGTGTGTATATAGTTTGTTGCATAAAATATATCATATTGTTTTCGGTGAAAGAAGTAAGGCCTTTGCTTGTCTGAGAGAATCTCACATGGCGTTATGCTTTCCAACGCTTTCTTGTTGAATGCACTCACCACCCTGGGGGTTCTAAATTGCTTTGAACACAACTTCGAGGATTCTCCACTGTGATGTTTCTCGTGGAGACTGTTCACGAAATTCCTACCAGTTTTTGCATTCCCAGCGCAGCCGAGTCACGAGTAAAACTTTGCACCCTACATGACCAGCCCATGCTAACGTTTGTGTTTTGTACTTGCCGCGTTGCGAGGCCAAGACAAGATTCGACCACTGTGGAAGTATTATTTCCTTGGAACCCATGCAGCTGCTTGGCATCAAATCAAAGGCCCAGAATGGCAGGTTCGCTCAGTCTCAAGGGGGTCTAAGATGCATTCCGTTTACCCTGGCATGGTTTTGTACGTAAAAATATTTGGAAATTAGTTGAACGCGCCTTCAACGGGTCTGGCCACACTGCTTTGCAGGGTTGATTGATTCGGGAGTAGACTGATGGACGATTTAGACTCTTGTTCTGGTTCGTCGGAGTTCGTCGACGCATTCGCACTGGTTGTTCTTCTTCTGAACAGGTGTGGGTTCAAAACCCAGCCAACTAAAACCATGGAAGGGTGCACATTAGGTAGATGTGGCTTTGACCGCCAGCCTGTTGAATTCTTGCAGACTAAGGTTATCTTTGTGCTTGACAGTGCCTGGGTCGGCAAATGGCATCAAATTTGAATCCTTTGCTCAAACCTTTCAAGGCACTGATCGTCAACGGATTCAAGAAGCTCGGGAGGACCCAACACATGTTTGTCATGTTTTGGCTACATGCAGAAGAATTACCCCAGCAGCTGTCCAAAATAGCTTTCCTTAGCTCTCTCCCTGTGGTGTGTAGGAGCTGTGGGGCATGTTGAGAGATCCCGAACTTGCACAGGCGGGGGGGTCAGGGTATCATGGTGCCATTTTGGCCAAGTTTTCCCAAGAATCTAGAGGTGGTTGAGACTTTTGACAATTTCATACAGGCTGCCTGCCTTATCATGGCCAACAAGCAAGACCTTCCTGATGCCATGTCCACCAAGGAGGCTCGAATTGGCAAAGCCAAAAAGTCGATGTGAACAGGGAAAGAGTTTGTTTTTGTAAATTTTGTTATGATATGTTCATGAGCGCTTCTTACAGAGGCCATTGCTATTAGGTTGGAGGCCATCGCTATCAGGTTGGATGCAATTTCTATCAATTTCTATTAGGCAGGAGGCCATCGCTATTAGGCCACACGCTTGCAAAGTTTGACAATGTTATACAGCATTTTGACATGAAAGAGAATGCAGCACTTGGTCTCATTGCTCTATTGACATCAAAGCCGGTCGAAACTAAACAAGAACATCCAAGAACCAAAGCCCATATCCAAGGAGGCTTTGCGGCTTTACTATTTGTTTAGCTTCAGAGAAACTTGATACAGTCGAGGATAACTGAACAACCATCCAAAAATAAGGCAGGCCCCCTGAGGATTCTGCAAAGCCTTTCCCGAGTCAAGTTAGGATGTCAACTCCAGGCCCACTCAGTCTCCCCTCGCGATTGCGTGTTTGTCCAGGTCACAGAGCAGCTCGGTTTGGCTGATTTGCGCTTTCGGAAGATTCATGTCCAGCCCACCAGCGCACCTAAGGGCACCTTGGCTGAGGGAGCTAGTGCGGGCTAGACCAGTGGTGCAAGCCACGAGGTTTGGCTTCAATCACAAAGATCTTTGTTCGGCTAATATAATTTGGTTAATTTGATGATGTTAATGGGTCGAAAAGAGATACCATCGCTGCATCTTGGCATTTTTCTGTTTTTGCCAACTGTCTCCAGTTTGTCGATCGCCCACACCAGGCGAAGGAATCTACGAGGGTCTTGAGTGGTTGTCACAAGCAATGGTTGAAGCTCGATGAGAAGACTTGGGGCTTGAGGGTTACTTGGATTTCTTCATCCAAAGAAGGAGCTTTGAGTACTGCACGGGGACGGTAGTAGCGTCCTTGCTCCTAGTAGCGATGCCCTTTGCTCCTAGTAGCGTTCTTGCTCCTAGTAGTAAGGCCAGGAGCCCCTAGTAGCGTTCTTGCTCCTAGTAGCGTCTGTGGCCGGCTGGAATGAGATGGATTGAGGTACTTCTAGGTTTCACGGTCAAACATCGACAGGAAGCGGTATGCGGCCGTGAAGCCCAGTTCATTGGTTCTTGGAGACCTGCCCAGAGAAGCCACTGACATCCACTGCCACAGACTTCGCTTGCCACTGTCGCAGGAGAAGGTTCCAACACATGTGAGACTGGGTAGTGGCTTGCAGCGGGTGAACAGTGTATGCAGTCTTGCCAGTGGCAAGAGGCACTGGTTTTGAGCTGCTTCCGAAGCCGGCATCGCTTGAGCAAGAGCCAGCAAGAGACCAGAAATTATTATCAAATTTTAGTACGTAGGTCCTCAAATCTTTGAACTGAAAAGGAATGCTGTCCTTTTTCTTGCCTCTCTTGCCCCATGTACAGCACAAGAGGTGCTTGAACCAGTTCTTGCAAGGTGCAAAATGCTGTTTGGAGATGTTGGGGGTGATGATGTGCAGTTTGCAATAAGTGCAACTTATTTATACATATTGTAACTTTAGATGCAGCTGTGTAAGGGGGCTAAGCACTAGCTCTGAAGCCAGGGGTGCCTGACGGTCCACAAGCCTCACATGCAATATCATGCAATAGTTTGTCTACATATCAGACATATCATACATGGAAGGGGATTAGTTGGGGCCTTTGTATGGGCCATTTTGGGAGTAGACCTCTTCTATCCTACTAGCGATGGCCTCCAACCTAGGAGCAATGGCCTCCGCCGCCAAGGTGATACCTTCACAGCTCAGAAGCCCGCCTTTGGGGGGAGGTTCGGGAGGGAAGCGTGACAGACACGTGTTGCATATGACGCATGCAGAGGCATCCAAGAGCCATTCGTATTGGACCTGGGCGGAACAGACAAGCGGCTTCTTGTTCCTAGTAGCGATGCCAGGAGCCCTAGTAGCTTCTTGCTCCTAGTAGTAAGGCCAGGAGCCCCTAGTAGCTTCTTGTTCCTAGTAGTAAGGCCAGGAGCCCTTAGTAGCTTCTTTTTCCTAGCCCCTAGTAGCTTCTTGTTCCTAGTAGTAAGGCCAGGAGCCCCTGACCACGGGGAATCCAGGGAACCCTGGGAAAGATGTTACGACTCGCACCAGTTCTCTTGCTGAAAGCTCGGTTCTTTGCTCGTTGCGAAGCGCAGAGGTCCTTCTCTGGTCTTCCTGAGTTTGCAGCGCAGGCAGTCTTTGTGATCTGAAGAACAAAGTAAATTGATTACACATATTAGTCCGTGCAGAATTCAATCATGATTTGATTGACTATGACAACGAGCCATGATGGGCTTGTGGAGGAAGCTGGATGGAACGACCGGCACCATGTCTTGCACGCTGCTGCAAACGACAAGTTCCATGAATCCGACAAGGAGACTTCATGAGCAGTGCATGGCAGTTCAATTTGTGGGTAGTAAGGGGATGGAGGCTCCGCGGAGGCTCCAACTTGCGAATTGTTTCGAGAATATCATTGTACTCTTGCCGGCACTTGAATGAAATAAGCCAATGCTTAGCGGGAAGAGTCCAACGAGATCATATTTGGTATAAAGTGCTTGGATAACTCAGCAATTCCGTGCAGGCAATACATCCAGGCGACCCCTCTGAATCTGCTGACACTCTGCAGATTGGTAACCCTTCAGCGACAACCATTCTTAGTAAAGAGTGGTCAGGGGATAAGATTGACGTTTGCTGAAACCCAACGACAGGCCGGGCGGCCTCCCTCTAAAATACCATCAGAGATCAATCACTGCGATCACCATGTTGCGGTGTTCAGATTGTGGGATCCAAAAATCGATAGGATAGAGACCGTAGTTTCTTGTTACTAATCAGTAGCGATCAAAGACATACTAGTAGCTTCAAAGACCTACTAGTAGCGTCCTTGCTCCTGACCTCAGATCTCAAAAGCATTCAAAAGAGATATATAATCTTGTTGGTCACGTCCTCGACTTGTCGTTTTCTACCATCTAAAACGCTCAGGAGTACTTCTCCATTTTTTTGGAACCGCGCGACAAGCGAGTCGCTATCTCAGGCAAAAATACATCATACCATCATGTAATTTAGCAGAAAACTCAGTAAACAGACTTACCTAATCGAGTTAATGAATTGTTTGAATTGATTGCGTAGTTGCATTTTCCTTTTGTCCCCACCCAGCTGCAAGTGAGCGTGCACTGAAGTTGGAAAAGCAATTGCTACGTCCTCAAGGGCATTTTGTTAAAGCCCATGCAGAAGAAGTGTACCAAGAAATCCAAAGACCTGCCATTGTTGGAATGTGTTCAGACAGTTTTGTTTGCTCCCATGCTGTCTACCCAGCAATCTAGACGATGATCCAAAGACAACATACACTGATACTAATATATGGGCCTCGGCAACACCTAGCGATGGCCTGCAACCTAAATGCGATGGCCTCCAACCTAATACACAACAAAAGGGTCGGCACATGTCGGCACTGGTCTTCAAAGAGCACTTGTCACCAAGCTGCTCGTGCAAGTTTGCTTGCACACCCGAGCAAATTGTCTATGAGGTAGTGCCGAAGAGACAGAACGGCATCACCAGGCATTTCTTTCCTTACAGGCTGGCAGCAGCATTTCTTTCTGCAAGGTCGCCTTCTTGGAATTTGTAGTTGCTGTTGTTCAGGCTTCCTGGAGAGCCAGACGGCCGGGGACTGGACTTAAAGTCAGAGTCAATGTGTTGAGTGGTAGAATGTGAAGTACAGGTTGGGGTGGCTAGGAGCGCTAGGAAGCCGATTTTTCAGACATCGCGGCCTCAATACTTTCAGAAACAGAGCTCAGTCAGTAGCCTGACTCAATAGCGCTCAATAGGTTGTTCGGTCCGGAAGACAATCCACTAAAGAGCTAGTAAGTCAGAAGCCCCATACCCATACGTATCTGGCTTGCATTGCGTTACCTTATGCCTTACCCAACACCAATCCTGTGATTGCCATTGTCAGCCGAATTTGATCGAAGTATATCATTGGTACGACATGCAGCTGTGTTCAGGCTGTCGAAGCAGGCAGGACTAAGACTTTGGAAGTTTGTGGACGGTTTGCAGCCTGTGCGGAAGCTGAGGTAGAGATGACCCAGAGACGCCAGCTGAGATGATGTTGAAGAGCTGGGCTCAGAAAGATAGAAATCATGAGACATTGGACATTTCAGGGCAAGCAGAGAGTGGTTTTGATGAATTTGGATGGGTTTGGAGAGACTTCTTCCATTCTCAGGGCAGATGACACAGTTCGAGTGCCAGAAGTGCCAGGTCTCACTCTCAGCCGCCTCAGCCATCAGTTCGCAGCTTTCATATTGAATCCACTCTATCCTTTCCGGAAACCTAGAGCAATCCATCGCCATCCCCACCGGCTTCAGACACCGGATGTCCGCCCTTAGGCAGTCTCCTTTTGCAGCTCGCATCGTCCATGTGAGCGAAAGCGGACTGCAATGATTACCTGATTACCGATTGCACGAGCAGTCGGACTGCGATTTGATTTCTTTCAAGAAGAGGTCAAGTCTCAGAGCGGCTCTCGATTCTGGTCCAACTTTGCAGCTGCAACGAAGACACCCACAAGCACGGCATGGTAGCAGCAAGCACAGCAACGAAGCGAGACAAGTGCCAATGTGCCGATCCTTTCTTTGCGCATATTAGTGTTGACTGCCCATTGTTGCCCGGGATCGTACCATTTGTGCCGCAGGGCCTAGTGCTACCATTTTCACAGGGATGGCATTTTCGCGTCCTTGCCCAGATCGGTTCACTAGGAAATCTCCTCAAAAGAGGAGATTGTGTCTACATAGAAAACAACGCCAGCGGATATGTCTATGTGTTTGTCGTGGTGTCTTCGAGTGGTTTTGCATTTCGCAACTCATGATTGTTCGCCATTGGCCCTGCAATAGTGGTCGCCATTGGACTCCAACGGTGCCTATTCCAAGTTTGCGAAGTTGGCATTGATGAGATGCACTTTGAACTGATGCCATTGACTTGTTGGACTGTGCTCACTCAATCCACTGTTTTGGATGGAGGGTCCAGCCTTTAAAATCATGAATGGGTATTGGATAGTATTGGCATGTACTGGCCTTTGGCACCTTCAAGCTTCTCCGTCAAATCCGGTACTCTCGAAGCATTTGCTGGACGCAAGGTTACAGAGATGGGTAAGGAAAGAACATGTGCATTGTATACGGAGCCCAAAATGAGCCAAGGCTTGGGACACCATGCAGATTGTAGTATCAGATCTTCACTGCAGTTCACTGCACTCAGCACACAAACTCCCGCAGCCCTGCTTGGGCGTGCAGTCATGGATCCAAGAAGCCACTAGCAACGCAGGCGAAGCAAAGCGATCCTTGGAGATTCTTTCACCGTCTCCACGTGGATCATTGATTCTGCACCATGTGACTTGTAGCATGCCCCTTGTAGCATCCTTGGCTTCATGATAGTCACAGATAGTCTTTTAGTTCTTGTTTTGTTGTGATTATTGTGTACTGTATATGTATGATATTCTCAAGCTAAGCTAGGAGGACATGAAAAGCCCCTCAAAGACCCAAAAGGACACTTATAGTGGTTTGGGGAGTTTGGGGGATCTAATTTCAATACAGATCACAATTGCGAGGTTGCTGTGATGCCCTGGCGTCTGGCCAGGCATGGGGTGTCGTTTTCCACCTGCAAGGCTAAAAATGCTAAACGGCAAAGAGCAAGTGGGTCATACTGTTGTAATCTTTTGTAGACAAGTTCTTTTTGGTGGTTCGTTGCTGAAAAATATATCTTTGCTTTGCTCTGACATGCGCAGCCCACTTATTTGGCTCCTAGTGCACTGTTAACGTGACAGTGAATTGCAAAGATGCATTCAAGATGCATTCATATGACATGCATTCATCGCCGTCGGGTGGAGATGTGACCCAAGTCAACCTTGTTGCGGGGAAGTGCTTTCACGGAAACCTCGGCGGTCAAGCCTGTTCAACAAGAAGCGTTCACCAATTTCATCCAATGTCTAGCATTATCTAGTAAACATGAATAAAAAGGACAACTTCCTTTTCCTTTAGCATCTACTAGAGGTAATTACACTCCTTGGTGCATGCATTGTAAGAAAGACAACAAACAAATACAAAGAACACGTACGCCGTCATACGCCTGTCGTTGAGGCTTTCATGTTCCCTCCTGATGTCGTCGCCTTTCTCGCTGGTCCAGTGCTCTTGCCACGGGCACCTGTGCGAACGGCCCACGGCAGCGGTTCGGACTCTGACTCCCAATATGGGAGGAGCCTTGCATTTGGCTTCGCTTGCACGATAGGACAAAGGAGAAGAAAGGAAGGACGTAGCTTGATGTACAGTAGATCATGATGTAGGAAGATCCAGTAGAGTCAGCCTGAAGTGGTTTTGAGATGTTTGAAGTAAAGACATTAGCATGCCCTGCTCGCCCGTGGCCATCGGCCTTGCCAGGAGCGATTATTTGTACGGCGTCTATCCGGTGCTGTTGGCCCTGCGTGCACAGAAGCGAAAGTTCAAGCGCTTGTGGGTCCTCCGTTCTTCTGGGGGCCCCAGCACTTTGGAAAAGCTCCTCGCCTGTCAGACCTGGAAAAGAGAGCTGTCGCCTGTGATGGATGTTTGTTTGATTGGCTCGGCAAGCAGACTGGTAGTGGTGAGTTTTGCTCATATTTGCTCCGTGAACTGCTGAGATTTTGTCCAAGTATACCACGAAAATTCATATAAATACATTATATACAGATATATATATATATATTGTTGAGAAGTTCGGGGCAAAGACATACATGTTGCTTCCACAGTTGTCTTCGAGTGGAAGTTCTTTGAACCAAAGGAGCATGGATATATAGGAGATTAAAGGAGTGATTCCGCAAGAGCAAAATAATCCATTATAGGGATGGTACCTTCCAAGAAGTTCAATAGGCTGACTCACAAGTTTGCTCAAAATGGTGAAGGCTTCTGCTTTCATTGTGAAGAGTTGCAACTGAGTTTGGAAATTTGACATTTCTAAGGAAAGATTACAAGGCAAGTTGGGAATGTGCTTTCCCATGTTTTCCAAACTGATGCGGGTTTTGAGCTGGCACTTGGCCACCTTGGCCGCGCAGCATTTGCCCGACTTTCTCCAAACAAATAATTCTATAAAATACTCGGTTTGTGGCTCTCCGATTACTAGACCAAGGGACTCAGGCTGTGAGTGATAGATTATTGAAACGAGTGAAAGCATGAGTACCAACATGTACCAACAACACGCAGTCCACACATTGAAGTTGGTTGCCCTCAAAGTTGGCTGGCTAGTTGTGTTGATCACAGCAATCAACGAATCGTGATTGACCAGCATTCATAGGGTGCATAGATGCTGTCGCATTCCAGTTGCCCCATGTGCCTTTGAACCAAAAACTGCAAAACTGCCATGGAACAGTAAACAGATGTAAGCAGTTGATCTTCCTTCGGGAAACTGCGTGATTTCCCGCTAGCGAAGCGAAGGCACGCTTGGAAATCTTGCAGCGCAGCGAAGCCTTGGGCATCCCGACGGTGATGTGCCTGGGACACAGGGAGTGTTTCACGGGCGCATTCCCCTTTAGTGCAAAAAAGGCATCAGGCATCTGGCATTTGTTGACTGACTCCTGGGCTGCAGTCGTCAATTTTGCGATGCAAGTCTTGCACTGCTTCGGTCCCCAGATTAGACACCCGGACTGCGAGCAACCTAGAAGTCCAAGCTTTGTACCATCGCCAAGCACCTTGACAAGAGTAGTAACTTCGCCCAGGGACATTCCCAAGAAGTCCATCCTGGACCACTACTCTGGTGGTCGACCCCATCAAGGCCCTCAGATTTGGCTGTGCTTGCAGGCTGTAGTAGGAAGCAGACAAAGTTACTATTGGCACGCCGAGGAATCGCAAGAAGAGCAGCCAGCCTTCCCCAGACTGACTTCCATTTGCAACATTGTGCAACCATCAAAGCTTGGCATGAAGAGCATTGAAGAACACTAGAAAAATGACGCCTTCAATACTGCAAACAAAAACAAAAAGTGGACCGGCAGTCTGTCCCCGAAAGCAATTACCGACTAGATCATGCAGGACATAAAGAAGCAAACAATGCCACCCTCGGCGAGCTGAAGTTCAAAGTGGTTCAAAAACCGATGAAAAACTGTTCACAGAAAAGGTGACATGAGATGACAGAAAGGGTTTGTGACCAACTGAGGGACCCGCCATCCGCCGTATCTGCAGTGAATCCGCAGGGCTGGTTCTGAAATGCTCCCTGCCCTTCGTGCAGAAGCTTCAGGAGACTGAGCAGACTCGAGGGGCTGGCTGTGGGTCATGGTTCCACGGCCAATTCACTGTGATTAAATCGATGAATGAAAATCATTGGGCATTTTGATCCATGGATCTCAGTGAATCTTCCAATGTTTGATTCAAAAACAAGGATCTTCCGTCAGGAGCTCCCGGTGCCTGGGCGTGGAGCAATATGGTTGGCTTTGGAGGTGGTTAAAAGCCCTTAAAACTTGCCAAGATCTAATCTCCAATAGCTATATATACAGTAGAACAGCAATTGGAAAATTCCGGCAATTCATTCATGATGCAAAGTGAAATTCCTTGTCAATGTTTACTTGTTTGGGGGTGAAGGTCTTGATCTCCCTGTGCCCTGCAGGGCATCACTGATCCGATGAATTTGGGATCCCTCCTCCGTTCTGCCGCTTTCTTCGGGGTGGAAGGCACGCTTCGATGTTTCATGAAGTTTTCGCTGCCATGCGCCAGAAGAAACAAGAGAGCCTTGAGGTGAGAAAGACTTGACACTTTAACACAGACTTTTGTGCACAGACGGTTGCAGACTTCAGCACAACCTGCCATAGCAAACTCACCAGCGGCAACACCCTAGTCAGCGCAGATTGTGTGCCGGAGGTGTGATTTGTGAGCATGGATGTGCAAAATACAGCGCTGTGGCCGCCAAAGCATCGGCCACTTGGCAAAGATAGTAGCAAGAAGCTACTAGGTTGGAGGCCATCGCTAGTAGGTTGGAGGTTATTACTACTAGTAGCAAGAAGCTACAGTCAGTCGCCCAAGGCTTGTGAACATCGCTTGAGCCACAAAACCTGTCTCGACGCACTCGTTCAGTGACCTCAAAGTGCCCAAATGCCAAAGTGTACCTTCGTTCACCAAAAACATGCTGCTATGATTTGCTGTCATCTATAATGTTTTGCAGTAGGTATATTCCAAGGGAAGGGTAGCATGATGTTATGGGTCAATTGGCTCAATAATAAGCTGGATGATAAACATGGTCCACTTACAGTAGATTTGCCAAATGTTACTTCCCGATCGCATTGGATGCATTTGGATGCTGAGGCTGGCGCTGGAGAAATGGTCCAGCTGCTGAGGGTCAGTAAGCTGCAATCCCTGCTGCCGAGGCAGGTCGTTCTGCTTCAAAGCCCACCCTTAGGCCCTAAGCAACTCAATGTGTTTTGTATCTTTGGGTTTGGATCCTTTGCTTAATCACACACACGCTTAGACCGTGACCACACTAGCCGAAATGTTGGGTTGAAAGAAGAACAAAGATGGTTGATCCAAAGATTGTCATCCAAACTGTGATTGCTTGATGTTGCTTGATGTTGCTTGTCGTGTCAGGGCCAAAGAACAGGGATGGTGTGTTGTTGGTGCGGCCTTGCCAGACCCAGAGCAACTTGGCATCCAGCTAATCCAACTAATCCAATGAATCACAAGTTCATTCCAAGTGAGTAGACAAACCACGAGAGATGCGATTGAATGCTCAGCATGATTCGTGGTTCTCCGAAAATCCCCGTTTGTGCATGTTTGTGCCATTTCATTCGAAGGCTAAATAGAAGGTGAAATGCCCACGGAAGGCACATTCAGCCCACGCTTCAGCCGCCAGATCTCGACCCGAGGATTGATGTGGACTTCAGCACTTTGGATGAATGGCTCCCTCAGTGCGATCAGCTGGAGCGCTGGCACTCCAGTTGTTTAAATCGACAGTGAGGCAACTTAAGAATGACGGTGAAAAGAGTTACCGTGGTGACACAAGAGAATATGTGTGTGTTTTGACACGGAAATCAGGGCTACATTGAGAATTGTTCGAAAGAAACGGTTGCTCTCGATATGTGGTGTCAAGCCTCCTCCCAAGAACCCTGCGGAGCAAGCATGTTCAGACCACTTGGGCGACTTAGTGGTTCCCCAAAAACATCAACCAAAGACCAAGGACATTCTATGACATTCTACTGAGAGCAAGGACGCTACTAAGGGGCTCCTGGCATCGCTACTAGGAGCGTTCGGACGCTAAGTCTCAACAAGGCCTTTGCGGCCTTTGCGGCCAGGAAGGTGTTCTGCTGCTGTTGGGTCCCGAGGGCCCAGGTCTTCGCCGACGGTTGAAGCAGCTTTGCGATCGGTCGGGGTGCCCAGCACAGTAGAGTTGGAGGGTCATTTTGATCGTATCAAAAAACATGCCCAATGACTCACTATAGGGTGTCCTCTTTTTAATAAGATCTACTGGAATCCTGGAAGGTGAATTCCAAAGCCGTGAATTCCACCCACTTCAGAAACAGATCTTCTAACTGCAATTGGGCGGTCTTTAAGATGCTTGAGGCTGGTGGGCATCAGCAGAGTTGGTGACAGCGGAGATGGCCTTGACTCCTTGAATGCTGGCGTGGCAGCAGGATTGGTTTGTTTGACTTTTTGGGAGTGTATATAATGGAATTAGACAGTGACTCGAGCATGTTTGAGCTGACATTGTTTGTTAGCTTTTGTCTAGGGTTCGACAATCAAGACGATCAGCATGCTTTCAGTTGTATGGTCGAATGTATTACGAAAGCCAGCCGAAGGCTTAGGCTGGAAGGTCTGCACATGGTGAAGCTTTTAATCTGGGGGGGTGGGGGGGGGGGGGGATGGGGGGGTTGGGAGGGGGGGGGCGGGAGGAGGGGGGGGTTGGGAAGGGTGAGGCCGGAATAGGGCGGGTGGGGGAACGGAAAAAAGGGTTGGTCCAGTTGTCTCGTTTTTGGACACATGGGCGAAAACTCCCACGATGTCAATAATGCAGCGTCCCCGGGCAAGCATATCCGGCATCGCGAAGGTTTGGTCCGAAACCATGTCAATTTTTATCAATCTTGAAAGACGGACTGTTCCTTTCAAGTCTTGGGCCTATTGCCCGCGGTCGGCATGCTGCTCGATTGCGCGTGTCAATGCTCAAATGACTAGTCGTGCGTTTCACGCAAACTCTTCGCAACGGTAGAGCACAACATGTTCGCAAACTGTGGAAAGCGAGGTTCTTGATAGTCACGGTGCAGCAGACTACGTAAATTATCTTGTTTTGTTCCTTCAAAGATGTTGAAGCAGACAGTGTTTTTAGCTTAAAGTGACCGAGGACTAAACCTGACCTCCCTTTTTTGAAAAAATAAGGGGGTCAGGTTTCAGCTGACTCAAGTCGTGTGTTGCCAAGAGTGTTGTTCGAAGAGTCTCTCAACAGAGTTTTTCATCAAGAGTGTGTGGCGAAGGGTGTCTTCACAAGATCGTCACTTTGAGAGTGGTTGACAAAGAATGTCTTTTTTGGTAAGTTTACCCGGTGGGTAGCACGCTACTTTTTGGATTTTTGCCTTTGTCTTTGGAATAGCGTTGTCCAGTCCCGGTTATTTTTGATTCTGGGTGCTTTTGCGCCGCCTTGACTACCAGGATATGCACATCCTCCATTCACAACTGAGCTGCTCAATGACTCTGATTCATTTTACGTCGCAGGGGACTGGCTTTTCTGCTCGGGGGCAGGCTTTCGTCTCCCCCCCTTCTCAGGTAAATAGTTTTGTTTTAGCCTTTCGCCGCGTTGTTTCTCACTTTTCGACAGGGGTGCTGCTGCACGGTGTCCGACAAGCTTTGGGACCCCCGCGGCCGGCGCCGGCGAAGGTGTAAGGTGAGGGGTGCTTGGCAACTTTCATGTTAGGAAGATGAAGATCCACTGTCTTGGCTTTGAACAAATCAGCTGCTTGTGTTTCTCCACTGGCATGTCTTGTTACAAGCACATGCACGAATGATTTCACTAAGTGCTACAGACATCCACAGACAAGTTTGAAGATAAACCAGACCATGAAACATTTTTTTGAGTTATATAATAGTTGTGCAGACGTTTCGTACCCGATCAGTCTGTGGGAAACACTTAGCGTAACAAGACTTAAGGTGGGTTAGGAAGGGAGGCCGGAAATTGTTGCAGACGAAAAGTTTCCAGGTCAAGAAAAGCTCGCAAGCATCTATGGCAGAGGAAACAGATCGTTGCATTGGATTGCAGGGCCGAAAGAGCTACGCGTGCCGCGTATAGTTCAGCTAGCTATGAACTTGTACAAATGGTTGATGCTTGAAGCAGATGGAGGCAGTCCTCCTGACACAGCAGAACCACTAAGGATCACACAACATTAAACTGTTCACGGTTCTAGAGCTGGCTTGAAGCGCATGTCCTGTAAAGTCGCCCAAAAGCTTCAATTGACAGAAGTTTCCTGGCTTGAAGTGCTCATTGGCAGAGGTTGCTTGCTCCAAGCCAGGCCGAGCTCTGCACCACGCCCGCCAGCACCCCCGCGGCCCCCGCTGCGACCGGCGACCCCGCGGCCGGCGGCACGGCTGCCACCACGGCCGCCACCACGGCCCCCTCCACGGCCGCCACCACGGCCTGGTTCCAGTTGGCAGGCGGGAATGTTGGATAGTCTCCAGGAAGTTTGATGTTTTTGATCGTTGTTGATCCTTGATCATTTAGCACAGGTAGGGTCACTGCACCTGGCAAAGAACGAGTGATTGTCCCTCAAATGGTGCTGTTGTGAGTTTTGCACAATAACAAGGATTCTTGGACCCACAAGCCAGGATGCGCGGACCAAGCAGAAGCAACCCTACGTAGAATCATCGCAGGCGGGTCACTGCTGATCAAGCTTGAATTCTGCAGCTTATACGGTCACTTGACCACGTGTGTGGACTGCACATCTATGCACGTTTGTAACAATTGCTATAGACTATATATATATATATATATGTTCATGTGCAATTGCATGCCAAGGCGAAGCGCCAGCGATTGGACAAGTCCTGGACAAAGGTGCTACATTAGCAGACAAGCTTTGAGTAAAAACCTTGAGGTTTCCCTGCTGTTGTTTAGTGTTGACTATCGATAAATGTCCAATGTCAGGTTGTGGTCACTTTTTGTTCAGTCAAATTCAGCACGGAAAATGACGGAAGTGCTCCCAGAAGTGACGCGCTGTGCAAATATTTGGTTTGCAAAGGACTTTGACTTCCACTAGTCCTAGCGTAGCCCTGAGCAGCACAGCCAAGAGAACATGAATCCTGGCATTTTGGAAGCCTGGTGAACATTGCAGACACCGGTTCTTTTCAATTCTCATCAGATCATGGTTGTATTTCTTGGTCTCTCACAGAAAAACCAGCCAGTGTTGGGATGCCCGTCCCAAGTCACAGCTCTTGGTCTTTCTAATTTGACCTGCCAACCCAACATCCCAATGAGGTGAAAGATGGTAAATGGATTGGGACTCTGCAGTTAGGACTCTGCACCGATGTCGTGTGATTCCCCTTGCGTCGGGCAGGCTGATGCAAAGTGGGAAGAAGAGTGGGAGGTCCAGCTGGTCCTTTCGTCCGAGTCATTGGTCCGTTTGGGGTTGCACAGGTGCATGAAGCTTCAAGGATCTAATGTGTTTGTTCACTTGGCTCATGTTCCTTGCAGTGTGCAGGATGAACAAGAGGAATGGGAAGAAGAGGAAGATTGGCAAGAGGAAGAGTGGGAGGAGGAAGAGCAGTGGGAAGACTGGGCCAAGGACTGCTTGGTGCGTTCTGCTTCTTCGGCCTGGTCCTGAAACTATACACTTACGTGTTATGACCAGTGCTTGCACCGTTTGTCCAACTTGTCCAGATGGAATGAAAGCTATTTACTTCAGAACCTTTGAGGTGTTGTACACATGATTCAACCCAACATGGTAAATCAACAAGTGAAACAACATGTTTAGTCTAGTCATGACGTTTGTTACAACAGTTGCACAACATTCTTCAAATAAAGAGTCGTTGGATACGTTTGTCTTTGTCCCCAATTATGTACATTTTTTTGTAGTGGTGAGTAGTCCTTTGCGAGTGTCTCTTCCAACTTCAGGACACTCGCACCCAAAGCAGGTGGGGGCTGCCGTGGAATCAGTTCGCCAGACGGCGAGACATGTTTGAAGAAAGCATTCTGAAAGACCTTGCAAAGTCTCTCCATGTACCATGGTCTAGGTTTAGGGTGCAAAATACATCTAAGTCTTGAGTAGGAGCAGCCAACCAAAGCGAGGAATTCCGCCAAAGGCCAGGTGGGATGCTTATTGCAGAACAGTGAGAGAGAATTTGAGTATGATGCTGTGTTGTTCCCCACCTGTCAGGTGAGGGTTGTTAGATTTTATGTTAGCTGACTTCTCCTTCTCCTCCTCCTCCTTCTCCTCCTTGCCGGACCTCAACCACGACCATCCACGCCCAGTGTTCCCTGCCGGA